GGAAACATCAAATGGGACTGATCCTCAAAACATGCCATAGGCTAAAAATGAACCAGTATGTCTGTATGTCCTTGTTTCAGAAAAGAGAATGGCTGCTGTTAGCTAAGGGGGAACCACTGAGCCCAGGACACAGCCAGAGAATCCCTGCCAGCACCTTCTATGTGATCATGCCATCACGCTCCCTCACACTGCTGGTGAAGGCGGTGGCCACACGGGAACTGATGCTGCCCAGCACCTTCCCCCTGCTATCTGAGGACCCATGCGATGACAGCCTTAAGACTGTGGAGGCAAGTGGAGCCCCGATCTCATGAGACAGATCTAGAAGCGAATGGAGTTTGAGAAAGGAATGAGGGAGAGGAGTGAGCCCATGAGGGAATGGATGGGGAGCTGAGGTGTGGTAAGAGAGCAAGAAGAGAAAGCAAGGATAGGCAATGTTGCCAGAAGGAGGGAGGAAACACTTAAGATTATGGCAGCAGGGTAAGGAGTGAAATAGAACAGAGGCTGGGTTGAGGGAAATGAAGCTTGAGAAGAAAAAACTGGGAGAGAAAAGGGACATGGGTATCAGTGATGACTGGGAATTAGAGCCATCCTAGAGGACAAACTACATGCACCCAGACCTGAAATCTGAGGACAGCGTGTCTTTGAAGGAGGAAAGGGAGCAGCAGAGAGTAGAAACCTGATGGCAGGCCAGGGCACAGGGAGGCAGGAGAGGAAGCCACAGCACCAGCAGCTCCAGCTCCTGGGGAGGCACCAGACACTTGTTTGGTTCAGTTTTTGCACCAGCTGGTTCTCCTGCCCCTACCTCCTCCCCAGAGAGGAGATTGTGAAGTTAGACAAGGGAAAGCAGAACATTGGGAGGGAAAGGAAAGGAGAAGACACTGTGGCAGGCAGAAGAAAAAGCAAGGGAGAGAGGGAGTAAAAGGAGACCCAAAAAATCAACCTCTGTATGGGTTTTTGTGTCTTTGTGTGTTGATTTTTGTGCCCAAGTGAGTCTGTGCTGGAGTCTCTAAGTTGATGGCCGTACATGTAGATGCGCCTGTGCACATCTGTGTGCTGGTGTGTTCTTAGGGGTCTAACTTTCTGCATTGCATGTGTGCATGTATATATACCTGTGTTTGCACTCAACTATGTTTGGTGAGAAAAGGAGGAAAAGGTAGCCAATGTAGGTGCCCGAAATAGGAAGGGCTTCAAAATGAGACGGATGCAGAAGCAGAGGAGCAAACCACTCTGAAGGCCATTTTCTCTTCCTCCTCCTCTTCCTCTTCCTGGAATCTGGATTCTCTATATTTGCTCTGCTAGTCTCCTCAGGCTGAGGGTAGGAGGGGTGGCTCTGGGCAGGGAGAACTGGCTCGCTGGCTTAAATGCAGCAAGGACAAGGCCTGGGATTGTGCTCTTGGTTTGGCGGCCACAGAGACACAGAGAGAGGTGGGCACGAGTGGCCGTGGCCCGCTTAGCGTCTCACTTTGGGGCCAGTGGTTCCTGGCACAGGATGCTGTGGCCGGAAAACCTGACTGCACAGGAATGTTGTGCTCCTGTATCCCCTCCTCCCTTTCCATTCAGCTCAGCTCACCTCCAGGCTGAGAACTCCCTGTACTGGCCTTGCAGGCTGTGAGCACCCCGCCCCGCTGGGTAGCCTGCTGACGCACCCTCCCTCCGTGCTCACAGTGGATCCCTTGTAGCATTCATGTGCGCTGGCCCCCTCAGAACCCCTGGACATGCGTCTTGGGGCCAGAGTGTTCAGTGTTTCTAACCACTTAGGGTTGTTCCTACTTCTCCTACCCATGCCTGACCCTTAGATTACAAGCACTGGACCTCAGGTCAGAACACCCAGGGGGACAGCATCTATTTCACAGCCTTCACGGCAGCCCTTGCGTTTCACACTTTCTCCACCCCCTCACACTCCTGGATCGCTGCCTGACATCTTGTGTTCCGTGACCTCAAGTTCCCTGGATGAGGCCCCTCCTCTCTTTTCCTCAGAGCATCCTAGACAGCCTGGAGCTGGAGCCCACCTACAACCCCTTGCAGGTTCAGAGCCACCTGTACTCACACCTGAGCAGCAACTATGCCAAGCCTCGGGGGCGGCTCCACCCACACTGGGAAAGCAAAGCCCCGAGAAAGGTACCGCTCCCCTCCCTCCCTCCCCTTCATGCCCAGAGTCCTCGAAAACCCTTCTCTCCCATCCCAACACCGCCCCCATCCAAGGAAGTAGCCCTTCTTCTGGATCCCACCCCTGGTGAAGGGGAAAATAAGAACCCTTACTGGATAGGGAGGCCTGTCTGCCAGGGCATTTACATATGATAATGTTTATGTGTTTTAATTGTAGTGTTTACGATAACTCATTAGTCATTTAACAGACCATTGTCCCATTAAGTAAACTAGCTACCCAGGAACTACTACCACAACCCTCTTGAAAGAAAAGGCTGAAGGCAAGGTGAGGAAAGAAATGCCCAAGGGAAGGGAAATTAATCCTTAGAGAGCACAAGTCACTTGCCAGGTTTTATGATAAGTGCTTGCTCATATATTTTTCTCATTTAATCCTCACAGCATCCCTGCAAGGTAAGTGTTTGCTCATTTACAGATGAGGAAAGGAGGCTGACCAAGGTTAGTAACTTGAAGAGAGGACTCCCATGACTGGGGTTGAAGACAGTTGGGGTTGAAGAAGGAAGAGTAATTGAGGATGGAGAAATATTTTTATGAGACCTGTGTTCTATATAATATTTAGGCTTCCTTTTGTCCTTATTAACTTTTTCTGTTTCTTAGTAACACAGCCTTTAGGAAAATTCTCATTTTGGGCCAAGCACGGTGGCTCGTGCCTATAATCCCAGCACTTTGGAAGGTCGAGGCAGGTGGATCGCTTAAGCTCAGAAGTTTGAGACCAGCCTGGGCAACATGATAAAATATCTCTACAAAAAATTAGCCAGGAATGGTGGTGCTCACTGTAGTCCCAGCCACTTGGGAGGCTAAGGTCGGGGAATTGCTTGAGCCCAGGAAGTCAAGGCTGCAGTGAGCCAAGATTGTGCCACTGCACTCCAGCCTGGGTGACAGAGCAAGATCCTGTCTCAATAAAAAATAAAAAATTCTTGGCCAGGCTCGGTGGCTCATGCCTGCAATCCCAGCACTTTGGGAGGCCAAGGCAAGCAGATCATGAGTCAAGAAATTGAGACCATCCGGGCCAACATGGTGAAATCCCATGTCTACTAAAAAATACAAAAAATTAGCTGGGTGTGGTGGTGTTCACCTGTAGTCCCAACTATTCGGAAGGCTGAGGCAGGAGAATTGCTTGAACTCGGGAGATGGAGGTTGCAGTGAGCCAAGATCGCGCCACTGCACTCCAGCCTGGCGCCTGGCAACAGAGCAAGACTCTGTCTCAAAAAAAAAAAAAAAAAAAAAAATTCTCATTTTGTCTCAGCTAAAATTACAGAAGGACATTTCCAAACTAGAGGTAGGAGCAGGGGCCACAACAAGTTAGCTGCTGGGCAAGCTGCCAGAGGTAGGACACTGGCCAAGGAGACAGGCACTGTGGAGGCTAGGCTCAAGGGACTCTAAATCATTGTCCTGGGCCTTGAGGCTGTTACTCCAGGGACGGGACTTACCAAAGAGTTAGGACAGAAAGCCCAACAGAGAATGGGATAGGCACGCAGAAACTCTGATCTTCAAAGAAGGCTCTGATTGCTCTCTTTGCAGACTGGGCAGTTGCAGACCAACCGAGCTCGAGCCACTGTGGCCCCCCTGCCTGTGACTCCTGTCCCAGGCAGAGCCTCCAAGACGCCAGCGCCAGCAGCCGGCAAAACTTCCTCAGACACCTTCTTTCTGCCTTCGGAGTGGAAGGAGGATGCCTCAGGGCCCTAAGTCACCAGCACCAGAGCCTAACCACATCCATGCTCAAGTTCACATAATGGCTATCAGTGGTCAGACCTACTTTCTATCTGCCTGAGCCTCTGTGAGTGAGGGCTGACTGGGAAACAAGAGCCTTCCCCGCCTGTTTCATGCTGTCCCACTCCTCAAGTGGAGAAGCAATACCCTCGAGCCTGTCCCTTCTTCAGCAAGGACTCTCATTTTCTTTTGAATCATTTGATACTGTTTACAGAGGTGATTAAACACCCAGTAAGCTTCCACCATTGTTAGACGCATTCCCAACCCAGAATTTCTTCTTGTAGCTCTGTGTGAGCAGGTGGATGAGGTCACGTCACCTTTGGTAAATTGGGCCTCAGGAACAAGGAGGAGGTTTTCAAAGCTCAAAGACAAGTAGGATTGAAATCCAAGCCTCATTTCAGAGCCTGCGGCCTTCCCGCAACACCACCAGGCTTCAGCCTCCGAACAGACAAGTGCTTGGTACCTACGTGCAAAGTGTGTGTTGTGGGAGTGCTGCCATATAGCCCAGAACAGGGGAGAGGATGGTGTAGAAAATACCTACTCCTTTCCTGTTACCCTCTCCCCACAAGCACCCCCCTTCCTGTTGCTCCTTCCATCCACGGAATAGCTACCGTTTATAAAATGCTTCCTCTAGGTTGGGAGCAGTGGCTCACACCTGCAATCACAACACTTTGAGAGGCTGAGGCAGGATGATCACTTGAGGCCATGAGTTCGAGACCAGCCTGGGCAAAATAGTAAAACCCCCATCTCTACATAAATAGTAAATAAAAACTAAAACAAACAAAAAACCACTCTGTGCTTCAGATTACACTAAATACTTACACTGTATCTAATTTCATACAAAAAGCCCTGTGAGGTAGAGCTCAATATAGTTTTCCCATTTTACAGAGGGACACAGGGGAAACTGAGGGTTGCAGATGTTACACAACTCACCCAGGGCCACAGAGCTCTCGTCTAGCCTAGGGCAGCCTGAATTGACTCCCCAGGCTCTGAAACGTCACCCTCCTGTTCCCTTCCTGGGCCCCTTTCCTCTCCATGACTCTCAACACATTCCTGGTTCTCCTCTTGATCCCCACCACACCCAACCCACCCACTGTGTCCCCTCTTTCTGTTCACACACATAAAACTCTTAAACCCAAGCTGACTTTAATGAGAATTTAAAATTTTTGGAATAGATATCTGGCAAAGAACAACGCAGGGGTAAGGATCCAGGCACATTCCAGCATCTCCGAGACCTCCACACAGACCCTCAAACTGCACCCACTCTGACCATGCCCCATTTTCCACAGACCTGCTCCCACAGCTGTCCCTTCCTTTCAGGAAGTGGGGAAGGGATGGCTTTAGGGGGATGTAGAGCCCATCCGTCAGCCCTGTCATCTGTCCCACTTCTTAGGACTTCCTGGGATAGTCCTTCCCTTGACTCCCCCATCCCTCTGGTCCCCTGCTCTCACACAACATGGCTCCTCCCACCCTCTGGCTTCTGCTGGTTCTAACCATTTTCTTTGACCCCAGTGCCACCTCCCCATGGTTCTCCTCAGCGACCTCAGGCCTTGCCCTCCTTCTCAGGTAGAGCCCTCTGACTTGACCCCAGTCCTGTCAGTCCCTACTCTAGAGAGCCCACAGTCCCAGCTCCCTGAGGCTCCGCTCTTCTGGACCTGGCTGTACAGGGCTGAATTGTGTCTTTTGCTGCCACTGCCAGTTGCAGTACCAGGTTCAGGTAAGGCTAGGCCCTGGGGCTTGGGAGCAGGGAGGGGCTTTGTGCTCCGGGAGGGTGGCACAGCATAGTCATCAGTGGCAGGGTTGTAGGGGAGCTCATAGCCTTCCTCCTTCACCCGAGCCTGGCACCACCATGCATCCTTGAGCTCCCGAGGCAGATCATAAAGGCCCTGGGGAGGGGCTGGGGCCAGGCCCTCGGGTTCATCATAGATGGGATCCTCTTTGGGGTCCGTCAGCTTGGCCTTCATCAACTGCTGCTGCGCATGCTCATACAAGTCCCAATAGAGCGCTTTCTTCCGTTGTACTCCCTCTCCTGCCCGAGCAGGGGTGCTGTCCAAGGGATCTGAGTATAGGGAGTCCTGGGAAGGGTGTGGAGTAATTCGCAGGGAGTCTAAGGGCTCAGCATACAGGGCTGGGGCACTGTCGAGGAGCTCTTGGGGGCCAGGTGGGGAAGGCAACTTCCCCTCTGCCACCTCCCCTTCATGGGAGTCAGCTCTGAGAACATCGTGCCCCTGTCCCGCCTTTCCCTGGGCCTTCTGCCGGTGGATGGCAGTCTCGACTGCTTGGAAGATGTCATTTCCCTGTGCTGTCTGGAAGGTGAAGGTTCCAGGGCCCGAGGGGCAGCGGCGGCCGGCCTCAAAAGAGAACATGACCTGAGGAGGGTGGAAAGGGAGCCATCAGAGGAAATGAGTCACAGGCCGGTATTAATTAGGGTATCTACAAAGAGACCACCTGGGAACAGACGTGGGGTCTCCGGGTAGGCAAGAAAGGGGAATCCGAAGGTCAGAACTACCCACCTCTGCCCTGCCCCACCCACAGCTGCCCAACCCAGGAAGCCCTCCGGGACAGCCCCTTCACCTTGTCCCGGCCATAGCGACGCAACAGAGTGTAGGGCCAGGACAGGAGTGGCTCCAGTATATGACTCTGGGTTCCCACGGTCAGGAGAGTCAGCCTCTCAGCCTCCACCCTCAGCATGTAGGAGCCATGCAGGCCACAGCGCTCGGCGGCCTCAGTCCTCTGCACCGTTACCCAGAATTGGGATCCTGGAAGGCATATACAATTAGCTGCGGCAGGAGGGACGTGGGCAGCAGTGGGGACCCCGAGGCCTCAGGAGCACAGTGTCCAAGCACTCACTTGGAAGCCAGATCTCAGGGCCTTCCTACTTCCCCATGGGTCCCTGGGTATCCACCCACTTCCCAAAGGCACTCCTCCTCCTCACTCCATCCCTGCCCAGCTTTCTCAGGCATCTACCTTCCCAGGTGGGGCTGTACAAGGAGTTCTCCAGCATCTCCAGAGCAGAAAGCTTAGGTGGGTTATCGGTAGTCCAGCTGCCTTTCTGTAGTACAGAGAGCATCAAGAAACCTGTGATTTCCTCAACGCAGCTGGGGAGGTGGGAGCGGGTCTGAGCCAACCCCATTTCTCTGCCTCTGTAACTGCCCCCACCCCGCATCGCCGCAGCCCCTCACCGGAAAGGCGTTTCGGCATAGCATCTGCACCCAGGCTGCACTGGACGGTGCGTCGGCCGCCAGCAGGTGCGAGCGCTGAGCAGTGTCCAGGCGGAAAGCAGTGGCGCCGGGCTCAGGAGGGGTCTCCACGGTGACGGGGGCCACACTCACACACTCAGCCAGACGGATCACCTTGCAGTCCAGGCGGCGCGAGCTCCCTCGGCCACCTCCAGAGCTCGACCCCTTATGGTCAAAGAACTCGAGCCGCGCTACGCCGTGGGGACTAGCCGGGTAGAGCACGGCCCAGGTCTTCCTCCACCTCTAGGGAGAGAGCGAGAGGGCTGGAGAGGGAGTGGCGTGCGCGGGCGGTCCCGGTCGCGACGGGGAAGGAGGGAGCGGCGCAGGCCGATTTGGGGTCTGGGGCTTCCAAACGGGGGACGAAGTTTCCCAAGGAGGATGCCACTCCCTCTCTCCAGGACCGGAATCCCGAGACTACAGACGCTTCTCAGGAGCGTGCAAAGCAGCTTCGCGGGAAAAGTCACAGGCTCTCCAACTCCCGGCGCCGCGCTCCAGCCCGCTGCCCACCTCTCCCTGTTTCTGGGCTCTCTCACCCACTACTAGCCCGGATGGGGTTCGGCATCCGCGGCCCCCGACTACCTTGGTCCCAAAGCGCTGACTCTGCAAAAAGAGCGGCCCTTCCATCTCTGCTCCGTCCATGGCCCCTGGCAGTTCCTTCCGCGCTTCCTGGCCCTGCGGCGGGAGGCGGGGCGGGAGGCGGGGCCGGGTTCCCTGGAGGCGTTTCCGTCCCTCCCAGCAGGCCGGCAGCCGCTGAGGGGTCGCAGTGGGGTGAGGGAGACCATCGAGAAGGAAGGGTGGTGGTCCCCGGATTAGCCGGGCAGTGCAGCACCCCAAGCCCCTACCCGCCGTCGCGAGGGCGCGCCGGTGGTTCCACGGAGAGAAAGTCCTCGGCTTCGGCGGGAAGGCCCCGGCCTCTGGGCTGGCTGGCTGCGCGTGACGTCATATGCCCAACATGACATCAGGGTGAAAGCCGTGACATCACCCCGAAAGCGCCGGCAGGCGCCCGGGGACACCGGAGAGACCCACAAGGGCCTCCGGGGCTTCAGTTCCCCCTGCCGGGCCCGCCCCCAGCCCCGCCCGAGCCGGGCTGTTTACACTCCGCCGGCCGGGACTCGGAGCGGGGGCCGGCGGCTGGGGCTGGACCGCTTCCCGCCACCACGGGGGCCGCCCCGCCGCCCGGCGGCCGCTTGCAAGTCGACTCCCTGACCGCAGCGGCCAGGCCTCCATGCCAAGGAAGAGAAAGCTGCTTTGAGCGGGCCGGGGAGGGGGAGGGGGCGCGGCAGTAGCCAGCTCCACGGGGAGGGAGGACCCAGAGGAGGCGAGGAAGGAGCTGGCCGGGAAGAATGGAGGGAGAAGGCGGAATGTGGGAGGGCTGAGGGAGATGTGGGAGGGACGATCGGAGAGGGGGGAGAGAGGGGGGTCCAGTCTACCCTGGCCGAGCGTTTTTTTTGGGGGAAGTCCTAGGACTGATCTCCAGGACCAGCACTCTTCTCCCAGCCCTTAGGGTCCTGCTCGGCCAAGGTAGGGGGAGCCACGCTACCCGCGGAGGGAGCGGAATAGGGGATGGAGAGGATGTGGAGGGACCAGAGAAAACGAATGGTGTGGGATAGAATCGAGGGGAAGCCACCCAACTGAGTCTGATCCTTGTCAAAGGGCAATGAGACAGAGTAGAGAGAGGAGGCACTTACTGGAGGCGAGGGCTCCGGGTGTTTTGAACGGGGCAGCCAGGAGCGCCCTAAGGCAGGGGGCTTCTCCGGGAGGCCCTACTCCTGGGTCCCCAAGCCAAACTGTCCCCAGAACAAAGCTGCCTTGTTGGATTGATTGTTTGGGTTGGGGGAAGCATATTGGCAGGGGCTTGCTGTAGAGGGGTTGTTCAGCCCTAGACAGAGAAGGCCTTGGCTCAGGAGTCGTAGTGTCTGGCCCCCGGTTGCCCAGTGACAGCGATGGTGGTGTTGGCAGAAGGCTTGGACAAGCCTACCCCATCCCCCGCCCAGCCTTGAGGCCTGGCCCTCCTGGGCCTCTTGACCCTGCAGGGCATCTGAGAGCCTGTGTACTGGGGAGGGTTGCAGCAGGTTCTCTAGGCGAGCTTCGGTGCCAGCCTTCCCTGCCTAAGAATCTGCTGGGGTAGGACTCTGGGCTCCCATTCAGGGGATCTGTGATCCCAGGGCCGCCTAGGGCCCCCTACGTGCCTCTCTGCACAATCAGTACAGCTGACTGTCCTCTGTCTGGGTAAATGGGGTCATCTGGATCCCTCCCATGTCCGCCCCTTGGCTCTTGTCAGTCCCTTTCCTCCTCACCCGCAGTGTGCTTGGTTCCCCTATGCTGAGTGCCTGGTTCTTTCCCTATCACCTTCTACTCATTGTCTCTCTCCTCTGCGTCTTTCTGTTTCTCTCTCTCTCTCATTCCCACAGTCTCCATTCCTCACATCCTGTCTGTCTGGGTCTTCCTCTCTGCGTGTCTGTTGGTCAGTCTCTATCGCTTTTCCTTGACCCTTCTCTGACTCTCTGTCTCTCATAGCTGCCTCTTATCTCTGGGTCTCTCAGGCTGTGCCTCTTTGACCTGTGCCTCTGCCCTTAATAATGTGTTTCTCTGCCTGTCTCTCTTGGTCCCTGGGGCTCTTTCCTGCTGTCCCTCACTGTATCTGGTCTTTCTCAGTGTCTGTTTTCCTTTTATTACTTCTCTCTCTCTTTCCAACTCTGGGCCTTACTCAATCTCAGTTTCTCTCACACACTTTCTCTCTGGGGCACCCAGGCCTTCCCTGCCATGCGACCTGTCAGTGTCTGGCAGTGGAGCCCCCAGGGGCTGCTGCTGTGCCTGCTGTGCAGCTTGTGCTTGGGGTCTCCGTCCCCTTCCATGGACCCTGAGAAGAGGGCCGGGAGCCAGGGGCTGCGGTTCCGGCTGGCTGGCTTCCCCAGGAAGCCCTACGAGGGCCGCGTGGAAATACAGAGAGCTGGTGAATGGGGCACCATCTGCGATGATGACTTCACGCTTCAGGCTGCCCATGTCCTCTGCCGAGAGCTGGGCTTCACAGAAGCCACGGGCTGGACCCACAGTGCCAAATATGGCCCTGGAACAGGTGAGCAATGATCCAGGCGTATCCTAGGTATTACTTAAGTGTAACCAAAGTACAGGGAAAGGGAACACCAGGATGGCGCAGCCACAGGGACACAGGAACACCAAGAACAGCCAGAGTGAATAAACCTGTGGATGACAAACCAAGCCACAAGTTAATTCCCAGAGCTGTGTGACCTTAGGCTGGACAGTGCTTTCTCTGAGCCTCTGATGCCCTGTGGGCAAAATGACTGGATGATGTCTAAGTTCTTTTCTGCTGCAAAAGTATGATCCTACTAAGCCATACACAAAACAGCCCAGATACAGGTGAGCCCTGTACAACTAAAGTACAGTTGGTTTCATGGGCTGCTAAGAGCAGGTAAATGATATCTGGATGTCCCAAAGTCACAAGGGGTCACAGACACTGCAGACAACAAAATCAGGTTACAGGCTAGAGTTAAAACTAAAAAGCTGGCACTGTCTGAGGACAAGTATAAAATCTAGGACAAGTATGAGTGTGGGTGGTGGGGGCTTAAGAGCAGTTTCCTAGGTGAGGCCTAGGACTGCTCCCACAGTATGAACTCACAGTGGGATTGATGGACAGAAGCGGGGCAACCTGCAGCTGATCCTCCACTTCCCACTGGCTAGACCACCTGTGGAATTAAGTGTCATTCGTAGATGCTGTGTTTTAAGAGGGACGGTAGAAAATGGAAATACATTCAGAGGAGAGCTGCCTTGATGTGAAAGATTCAGAAGCCAAGTTTCAAGGAGGAATTGCTGAAGAACCAGGGGATTGATATGGAAAAGCCTTGCATAGCAATGATGTAATGGTCGTTTTCAAATATGCAAAGGACTGTCATGTGGCCAAGGGATTTTTCTGGTTGGCACCAAAGGACTGAATCAGATGAAGTGGGGGAAAGTCATGAAGAGTCACAAGGACTTTGATGGTTACACAGTCTGGTGGGGCAGGAGCTAGGTGTCTCCGCAGCAGCTGGGTAAGTTCTGTCGGGATGTGAATGAGAGGTCCTTGAACATTCTAGGACAGATGACCTTTGAGGCTTCGACCAATTCTGAGACGAAGTCAGTGATACTCAGCAGGGTTCAGGCTGTGCGTGGTGGCTCAGGCCTATAATCCCAGCACTTTGGGAGGCCAAGGCAGGTGGATTACCTGAGATCAGGAGTTCGAGACCATCCTGGCCAACATGGTGAAACCCCGTCTCTACTAAAAATACAAAAATTAGCCAGGTATGATGGCACACACCTGTAATCCCAGCTACTTGGGAGGCTGAGGCAGGAGAATTGCTTGAACCTGGGAGACAGATGTTGCAGTGAGCCGAGATCATGCCTGCACTTCAGCCTGGGCAGATCCAATTACAAAAAAAAAAAAAAAAAAAAAAAAAACAGAAAAGACAGGGTTCAGACAGAGAGAATAGAAGAACAAGGAGGGGCTATTTGACAGCGCAGACAGGGCGGGCACATGGGAGAATGCAGGTTGAGATGGAAGGATCTCAGATGTCCAAGCCTCACAGATAGGTCAAACTCCTAAGCCCCCATGTATTGGCTGTGTGGTCTTAGGCAAGTCACTTAGCTTCTCTAAACCCCAGCTTCTTCACATAAAAGGTATTTTGGCAGCTGTGTTCTAAGAACGATCACATATGTCCACACCATGGCAGAGCACCTGGCACACAGTAGGTACCTGATTAATTGTAGCTATCATTGAATGCATAGAAACTGATCAGAACTTCAGGGTTGATTCTTGTTTTTTGTTTTTTTCACCCTATCAGGTTCTTGAGTATCCCCAGATCACCCCAATCTTCCATCAATCTTAATGCCCCCTTCCTATTCCCTGCCAAGGTCCCCTGTCCCCACTCCATCCCTTATCACACCAGAAAGAAGGGATCATCACGGCCAAGTGGGAGGCCTCAGCACTCACTCTTCCCAGCATCCCCATTACTTCCCCATCCTCCCTCCCCAAGCCTCTCTGTCCTCTCCTCTCCCCTTCCACAGGCCGCATCTGGCTGGACAACCTGAGCTGCCGTGGGACGGAGCAGAGTGTTACCGAATGTGCCTCCCGGGGCTGGGGGAACAGTGACTGTACCCACGATGAGGACGCTGGGGTCATCTGCAAGGACCAGCGCCTCCCTGGCTTCTCGGACTCCAATGTCATTGAGGTCTGCAGTTCCTAGACATACACACACACCACCCAGGATGGCCGAAGAAGACTGTGGGGTGGTTAGGGGAGATATTAGAAGGCGGTTACCCCTGGGGGATCATTTGGATTGGTGGGAGGCTTGGAAAAGCAAATGATAGAACTCCCAGATGCTGTAAAACCCAGCAGGGTTTTTAGCATTCACATTCAAGGGGCTAAACCTGGCATAAGCCTCTGCAGCTTCATCCCTAATCACCCCTGGGGCACCTGGTGCTCTCCTTCTCAAATGTTCCTGCTCTCCTGGGACATCTCCACTCTGACTTTCTCCTCCTTCAAAGCCATTTCCTTTCTGAAATGGCCCCTCCTCCTCCAGGCACAGGGAGGTGCTCCTTCCTAGTGCTCTGAATCTGGGAGCATAGCACATCATGGGCCTGCTGGCTGCAGGAGAGTCCACACGGTGGACTGCAACCAGCATGGTCTCTCTCTCAGCCCCACCTTGGGCCCATCCTGCCCCTGGGTTTACAGCAGGCACACCAAGCAGGCTCCCTTAAGGGTGGCAGGACACATGAAAGATGCTGGGACTCTTTCCCTGCTTGTGGCCCTGTCCCCAGGTAGAGCATCACCTGCAAGTGGAGGAGGTGCGAATTCGACCTGCCGTTGGATGGGGCAGACGACCCCTGCCGGTGACCGAAGGGCTGGTGGAAGTCAGGCTTCCTGAGGGCTGGTCGCAAGTGTGCGACAAAGGCTGGAGTGCCCACAACAGCCACGTGGTCTGCGGGATGCTGGGCTTCCCCAGCGAAAAGAGAGTCAACACGGCCTTCTACAGGTGAGAGGCCCGGGCGCTCGGTAGCCAGGCCGGATTTGGGGTGCTCCCTGGGGAATGGCCCTGGGAGACATCTGAGCGAGTCCGGGGTACCGGGGAAGCCGGAGGTTGGGATGCGTGGGAAAATACGGAGACTGTTGCAGAGCTGGAGAGTTGGGAAATCTTGTAGGACCACGAAGGGAGCCCGAAGGGAGTACTTGAAATGGGGAGCAGTGAGACTCCCGCTTTCTCAAGGCTGAGCCGGGGCGACGCCCGGGCGGGCAGGCGGATTCCTCCTGCGAGGCCACTCCCAGGCCCTGGGGCGATTCCAGCGCTGCTGCCGGCCCCTGGGAGGCGGCGTCTGGGTGTGTCCCGCGCGGGCTGGGCAGGCAGGGACCGGAGACTGCGGCCGCGTGGTGGCCGGGGATGGCTGTCCGGGAGAGCAAGTGTGAGCGTGCGAGCCCTCGGGACTCCTGGAAGTCCTGGAAGTTTCCCAGAATCTCCTTTGGCAAGTCCCAACCTCTCTACCTGCGCTGGAAGCCTGGGGTCCACTCCAGCTTCCAGGGAGAGGGAAACATTACCCTGGGGAACTGTCTGTGCTTAGCGTCTCCCTTTCCTGGATCATCTACTTTGATCTTTTTGAGAAAATGCCATTGACAGCCAGACATTTATTTGGAAATTTGTACAACCTCTCTCTGTAATCTATTTTGCAAAGCCAAAAATTCTCCCTTTTTTCAGTGGTTCCTTAGATCAGTATTGCTGAAAGGCCTCTTGATGTCAGAATAGCTTTCCACAGGCACACTGCTTCAGATAGGGTCTGATACGGACAACCACTGTAGAAATCCTCAACCCCGACTGAAGCCTGCTCAGATTGCACTGTCTTCCCACTGCGGCAGCTTCCCGCTGCTTATACTGAACCTGTCATCACCTAAAACCAGGTCAGGTCTTCCCTGTGCTTCCTACTGATAGAGCAGCCTTTTCCAACCCAGTTATAGGTGACATTTACCCTATTTCATTTGTCTTGATACATAATTTAGAAACCATAAAAAAAAGTCTTGATGATCCCATGAAATTATCTTGAATCCTGATGTGACTTTCCATCTGTCATCCCTCAGCCTCCTCTTGGCTTCATTCAAATGATTAAAAGTTGTTATGGAAATGTTTAAAACCAAAGGCAAACTCTTCTTGCAAAATGTGCCTCCAGATTTTCATCAAGCTTCTAATCATCAGCTGTAAAATATGTTCCTTCCACCAATTGAGAAGAAACAGAACACTTCAATGATGTAACCAACATTTCACCTTATCAATCTATATATTTCTTATCTGTAACGAAATCCTGGGAGATTTTGTTAGTCTTTGATAACATCCAGATACGCTATGTTCGAAGCGATTCTCCAGCCTTCCAATTTAGTAATCCTGTCAAAAAAGGAAACCATAGTAGTTTGAGCCTATTTTTACTGCAATCCTTTTAGGTCTCTAAGAATTGCCATATTTTTTCCTAAATGCTCACAAACTTCTATTTAATAATTTATTCTAGAATATTACTTAAGTGTAGATTGAGGAATTGAGGAATCCTTTTCTTTTTCTTTGAAAGTCAGGATATTATCCAGTCTCCAGTCTTTTCCACACTTGCTCACACTTTCTTTGCGTTGGCTCTGAGGCTTATCTGAAATGTCTTTCAGTAATGAGGAGTGTAATTCGTCTTGTCTGGTGTCTCAAACCACTTTAAAACAACCATGTGCTGTGCCTCATTCATCCATCTTGGGGCTGTATTTCCTGCTCTGTGCTGCTTACCTTCCTTAGTTTAAACCCCAGGTTCTGAAGGATGTGTGGAATTTAAATAGACATTTCCAGTGAAGAGGATAGCATGAACAGAGGTGTAGAGATCCATTCATCCAATATTTATATACTGAGATCTTACCGTGTGCCAGGTACTATTGTAGTCACTAGCCATGGCTCATGCCTGAAATCCCAGCACTCTAGGAGGCCAAAATGGAAGGATTATTTGAGCCCAGGAATTCAAGACCAGCCTGGGTAACATAGTGAGACCCTATCTCTACAGATAATTTTTAAAAAATAAAATTAGCCAAGCATGGTGGTGCATGCCTGTGGTCTCAGCTATGAGGGAGGATTGCTTGAGCCCAGGAGGTCAAGGCTGCAGAGAGCCATGATCATGCCATTCATTACACTGCACCCTGGGCGGCAGAGCAGGACCCTGTCTCAGACAATAAATTAAGTCAATAAATAAGTGGTCAAGGAAGGCCTCTTGGAGAAGGCATCATCTGAGAAAAGATTTAAAGGATGTGACGGCACAAGCCATGCAGACCTCTAGATAAACATTTCCAGGAAGAGGGATCAAAAATGAAACTATTCTGGGGTATATGTGTAAGAGTGTGTGTGTGTGTGTGTGTGTGTGTAGTGGGTTAGGGCAGAAGGCATTCTTGTCTTTCTCTTGGAGGCCACTGTGGCTGGAGCTGAGTGAAAAAGAAGAAAATGGTAGGAGATGCAGTGTAGATGGTGATCTGAAAATGATGGGGAGCCAGATCCTGTCTGGGAGAGGCTGGCTTTTGTTCTGTGGGAGATAAGGAACCACTAGAGGGTTTGGAGCAAAGGTGCGACAGACATCGGGCTTCCTGTTTTTTTAAGTACTACTTTCATTGCTTTATTAGGAACAGACTGTGAAGGATGCAGTAGAGGCAGGAAAGCAGGTGGCTCATTAGGGGGTTGTTGTCTTCTGAAAGCCACGTAAAGAAAGTGAAAGGTGATGGTGAACAGTGAAAGTGGTGAAAATGATCAAGTTTTGCAGATAGCTGAAGGCAGAGCAATAGGATTTGCTGATGGATTCAGTGTGGTGTGAGAGAGAGGAATTAAGGCTCTTTCTAGGTTTTTGGCCTCAGCCAAATATGGAATTGGCCTCATCTGATAAGGAAGACAATGGATGGCACATGTTTTGTGGGGAGACTAACTTAGGGTGGAGGGAAAAAACCTGGTTTTAGACCTGTTAAATCTGAGATTCTTTAAGACATTGAAATGGTGAGGCTAAGTTAGCCAATTTAATATAGGACTCTGTGGAGTTTGAGTAAAACATATAAAGTCCTGAAACTGGACAGCATCACCAAGGAGTGAATGCAAATTTAAAAGACACAGAGGGAGTGGCCCAGAGACTAAACCTTGGGGAGATTAATTTTTTTTTTTTGAGATGGAGTTTTTCGCTTTTGTTACCCAGGCTGGAGTGCAATGGCGCGATCTCGGCTCACCGCAACCTCCGCCTCCTGGGTTCAGGCAATTCTCCTGCCTCAGCCTCCTGAGTAGCTGGGATTACAGGCACGCGCCACCATGCCCAGCTAATTTTTTGTATTTTTAGTAGAGACGGGGTTTCACCATGTTGACCAGGATGGTCTCGATCTCTTGACCTCGTGATCCACCTGCCTCGGCCTCCGAAAGTGCTGGGATTACAGGTTTGAGCCACCGCGCCCGGCCCCGAGATTAAAAATTTAAAAGTCGGAAGGTAAGATGAAATGCAAACAGTGAGGTGAGGTAGAAAGAAAACCAGGGGAGTGTGGTGGCCTGGGAGCCAAGTAAAGTTCTTCAAAGAGGAGAGAGTGACCAGCTGAGTCAGTGCTGCCCAGACCTAAAAACATGAGGACTGAGAAACAAATGCTGGATTTAGCAACAGGGAAGTCATTGTGGGCCCCAACAAAGATAATAATGAATGGCGTATATTTGGAAGACAGTAAGTTAGCAAGAGTAGGTTTAAACTGAGAAATAGTGGAAGATATGGATAAAGGGAGGCCAGAAAATGGACTGCTTTAGGTGCCAAATTGGAGAGTTTGACATTTGCCTTATAGAACAATTACAAATAAAGGTATTGGTATGGGACAATAATAAAGCCAGTGTTTTGAAAGTTTGCCTGATAGTAATGGATGAGGAGAGGCGGGTATCGATGCAGTAAGACCAGTTAGGAGATTTTTCTAAAACTGAAGTTTATCAGGAGGGTAACAACAAAGATGGAGGAAAATGAATAGATGTAGGATGACTGATAGAACACAGATAATGAGAGAAGAGACACCTAAAATGATTCCGATGCTCCCTGAGAGACGGATGGTACCAGCAGCCATCTTGGGGCTTCAGGTTAACATGAACTAGCTTTAGAGATGGGCCATCCTTGGAAAGTTTGAGATGCAGGCACTGTACCCAGGTATGCAAAGCCAAAATAATTTTTAGAGATCAGGAATATTTGTTGGACATATCGGAATCTCATACTTAGTCTGGGATAGGAAGGCTAGGGAAAGAGATACACTAAAGCACAGAGGCCATTCTTCATGGGGAAAGAGGCTGCGGGAGCTGTGGGAGATTCTGTGGTGGGAATATGACAAGTCAGGCCCAGCAGAGGGCGCCTTCTCACAGGTGATACAATTACGAAAGATAGGCAAGATAGTTGTAAACTACTCTTCCCCTCCTTAGCGGGGAAAAAAAATCTGCTGACTTTTAGAGGAAGTCAATAAGATTTAGGAAATGAGAAAATTAAAACCTGTATAAATCACTTTTCAATTTGTTTTGGTAGTTCTACCCTACATGTAAAAGTTGTAGAACTTTAAAATAAGAAAAGAATGTACAGAGTGCTGGCTTTGGTGGCACATATCCTAAAATCGGAACAATACAGAGATTAGCATGGCCCCTGTGCAAGGATGACACACAAATTCGTGAAGCATTCCATCTTTTTCAAATAAAAAAAAAGAATGCACAGATAATTGAACTATTTACTGCTCTTTTACAGTTGAAATTGAGGCTCTAGGAGCTTGCGTGCTGCTTAAGAAGTCACTCTTCTAGTTCATTTCAGTCTGGCAGATGTTTATTAAACTCCTATTTGCCAAGCACTGAGCAAGGTGCTGAGAATACAAAGTGAATAAATGACAAGAGAGGTAATTCAGCTGCAGATTGTAGGCCATCATAAGGACCCGGGTTCTTATGATAAAAGGATTGGGAAGCCATTTATGTTTGGCTTGATTTTTTCTGTTGTTTTTTGTTTGTTTGTTTTTGTTTTGTTTTTTTTAAGAGGGAGTCTGGCTCTGTTGCCCAGGCTGGAGTGCAGTGGCACGATCTCTGCTCACTGCAACCTCTGCCTCCTCAGGTTTAAGTGATTCTTCTGCCTCAGCCTCCCAAGTGGCTGGGACCACAGGTACCCACCACCACACCCAGCTACATTTTGTATTTTTAGTAGAGAAGGGGTTTCATCATGTTGGCCAGGCTAGTCTTGAACTCCTGACCTCAAGTGATCCACCCACCTCAACCTCTCAAAGTGCTGAGATTATAGGCATGAGCCACTGTGCCTGGCCATTGAAGTGTTTTTTTGTTTTGTTTTGGTTTTTTTGAGATGGAGTTTTTGCTCTTGTTACCCAGGCCGGACTGCAATGGTGCAGTCTTGGCTCACCGCAACCTCTGCCTCCTGCGTTCAGACAATTCTCCTGCCTCAGCCTCCCGAGTAGCTGGGATTACAGGCACGCGCCACCATCCCTAGCTAATTTTTTGTATTTTTAGTAGAGACAGGGTTTCACCATGTTGACCAGGATGGTCTCGATCTCTTGACCTCGTGATCCACCCGCCTTGGCCTCCCAAAGTGCTGGGATTACAGGCGTGAGCCACCGCGCCTGGCCCATTGAAGTGTTTTAATGGGGAGGGCTGTGAGATGGCATGATCAGGTTTGTAACTCCAAAAGATCATTTTGAATCTATTTTTCTTTTTTTTTCTTTTTTTTTTGAGACAGAACCTTGCTCTGTTGCCCAGGCGGGAGTGTAGTGGTGCGATCTTGGATCACTGCAACCTCTGCCTTCCAGGTTCAAGCAATTCTCCTGCCTCAGTCTCCCAAGTAGCTGGGATTACAGGCACGTGCCACCACACCCAGCTAATTTGCTAATGTTTTGTATTTTTAGTAGAGACGGGTTTTCTCCATGTTGCCCAGGTTTGTCTTAAACTCCTGACCTCAAGTGATCGGCCCACCTCGGCCTCCCAAAGTTTTGGGATTACAGCCATGAGCCACTGCACCCAGCCTTTGACTCTTATTTCTGAGAATGGTCGGGAGAGGAGCAAGAGTGAACAAATTGGAGAGATATTTAGTAAGTAAAATTGACAGGACTTGGTTATTGATTGACTTTGGAATCCAAGAAAGGGAGAAGTCAGGATTGACCCTTAGGTTTCTGGAGTGAATTTTGCTGAGATAATTATCTGTATTTTTTTTGGGGGGGGGGGAACCTACATGACATTTTAGATGACTTTCAGAACTCTACCTAGGAACATCAAGAAGGCAATGAACTATACAAGATTATGAATACACTAGGTATGAATTTCATAATATTAAGTGGCCTCTGCTCCCCAGTCAAACCAAGTTAACACCTTTGGATATTCAGCCTTGGTTCTTGGTCCTGGTCCAGCGGCATCAGGCCTGGACAATGCCAGAAGTCTGTCTCAAAGAGAACATCTAGAAAAAAAAGACACAGTAGCCTCCCTCAGCCTGACTCAGGCTAGTTCTCCCTCCTAGCCTGGTCAGTCTTGCAATCCTAACAATTTCCCTTAGCCCTCCACCAAGGTTTAACATTAACATCTGGACCCAGGAATCCTTTCTCACCATCTGCTCTAGCTCATTTCTGAGGGTGCTGGCATAGAGACACCGTCCTGAGTCCACGGCCTTCACTTCTGCTCACCCACCAGGTCATGTGCTGATGAGGCCAAGCAGCTATGAAAGCTCAGGTCCCAGGAGTGTCTGATATTATAATGTCCTGCCACCAGCAAGCCTTCTGACTGCTAGAAGAGAAATCTTGCTCCTGGTCCTAGTTGCACCAGCCTTTTCCACTTGGTTCTACAGTGATCTTGACTACTGTTGTCTTATCCTCACAGAAAGTTGAGGAAGCGAGCGGCCAAAGCCTCGGCCCGACGCCCCAAGCCCCTTGGAAGGTAATGGGGCAAGAGCCCCGGGACCTCCTGCTCGCCCTGCAGCCCCAGGAGGTGGATGGATGGATAGTAGCCTATCCATGTCCATCCCAGAACCCAAACTGATGGATTAGGGATGTGAGCAAAATGGCTGTTCCTGCGGGGAGGTAAAGGAAGCAGGCATGGGGATGGGCAACCTTTGATCTTAGGGAACACAGGCAGAAGTAATGTAGGAACGGCTGAGAAGCGTCCCGTCTTTACATGTTTCCCAAATAGCTTGAACTTCAGCCTCAGCCACCTTCATTCTTCTTCCTTCCTGTCCCCCATCACCTCCCTTAGTTCACCCACATTCCCATTCTCTCCCCCTCCACCTTTCCTCTTCCCTCCTCCAGTTCCCGACTCCCCCACCTGGATTGATATCACTAGATTTCCCATCACTGTTGCTGAATCCAGAGAGCAGCATGAATTCCTGCGATGCAGTTCAATGGTGTTCAGCAGACAGTGGATGCGGAAAATCTGGCTGTCCCTCACTTTTCCCATCCCCATGCTGCGCATGAAGGGTCCTTCCCAGAAACAGAAAAATAACCCTCTACCTTTCCTGGGCCACATACATAACCTCTACCTCCACCAACTTCCTTCTCCTTTTTGCAGACCAGTCATCAAGCTTAAAGTCAAACCCAAACCCCGAGTGGGCAGGGGGCCAAGCAAAAGGTAAATAAAATTCAGGTTGGGTGGAAAGGAGAGCATGGAGTTACTGGGCTGTGGTCAGGGAGGGGGTGTCCAGGAGGCCCGTGTGGCTGAAAGAGCTGACCAAGAGGAGGAGCAGCAGCAGCTCTTAGAAATCACCTTCCAGGGCATTTACCAAAGTATTCCGTAAGACTGGCCCTTACCTTGGTCTCTGGGGATCTGCTTGTCCTAGGGTTTGCCGTTTTTCACTCACTGACTACCTCATTCCACATACTTACTTATCTTTCCCTGGTGAGTTTCAGGAGGCAACCCAGTGCTTTTCTCCTTCAGACGTCATACTTGCCTCTCCTCTAAGAGGTTACATTTGCCTAAAGGATCAGTGTTCCCAAATCAAATACTTTATTTGATTAATTGTCAAAAATAAGTGTCACCAGCTTACCCAAGGATGGAGTGAAGCTCAGGGTCCCTGTTGGAGCCTTTACCAGGAATGCAGTCAGATTGACAGCCCCTGCCTCCCTGACTCATTTTCCACAGACTCCCAGTTCCCTCATCTTTCTCCTGGGCTCCTTCAGAACTCACAGAAGTAGGAAGCTTCCAACCCCTGTGATTACATCTAACTTGTCTTCAAAAGGCAGTTTGCACATTAAAAAATCTCCATGATAACTTCAACACGGACTGAAGTATTAAGAATTCATCCCTTTCTTCCCTCCTGTCCTCAACAAGTGCTAGTCTCACCCAGTGGCCCCCTGATAGCCCTCATTCCCCAGCTTCTCACTCTGGTGGTTTCAAAGGATCTCAGGAATTTGGAGATGTTCTTGTAGTGCCCTGCTAGCTTAGGATCATCTTTGCCCAACATGGCCATACTCCAGCCTTCCCTGACCCACGCATTAAAGTACACACTGCCATTTTTATTTTGTTCCTTGTAGACAAAGGGCATGAAGATGTTTAGAAGATAGATGTCTTCTTCCTGTGATGGCCTTGTTGACTTTCACTTTCAGCCAAACAGGACTCTGTGAGAATGTCTGATCTCTTAGATCTTCAGGATCCATTTATCCTGAGCTTCCAAAGGTATTCTGTAAACTCTACAGGCTTCCTTTGTTTTGTTTATAAATGTTTCCTCCTTCTGTGTCTTCCTAGCCAATGGCTTCAAGTCATCATATTCCGTCCTTCCTCTGACATCAAGTGACAGGGCACAGTACTGTGATAATGCATGACCACATCAGCCTCACAGGCCAATTCCACCAACGCCAGAGCTCATCTTCCCTTTCTCTGTGGACCTGACCCAGCTGATCTGGGCAGAGTGTACGTCTCTCCTGCACATGCCTTATTGCAGTTTCTCATTCCACTGGTGTCGACAAACAAGTCCCTCCATTCTCTCAAACATCTCGCCAGCATTTCCAAGCTTTAGCATCTATAGTTCAGTCCCATTATCCTATTCAGATGGCTTTAGGACACTGTTATGTTGAAATTGCAGAAGCATGGACAACATTTTTAAAGACTTACACAGCTCAGGTCCTGAGAAGTCTTTGCCATTTTGTTGTTCACATCCACCGTCCTTCTCTGGTCGTGTATTCCCTCAAACTTTGACCTGTCCTGCATTTATACATCTTCATTCTTGCATATGCCAGTCCCAGTTTTCCTGTGTCTACCCGCTGGTCTGTCCTTGCTGTACCTGCCCCTCCAATCTGTCCTGCAGAGTCTCTGGCCTCTGCGGAGCCATGTAGATGGGAGACTTCCTCAGTCCTTTGCATCCTGCCTCATTCAGTTTTTCTGGTCTCAGTATCACACAAGGACTTGCTTGCCTTCACTTTTCGGGGTTCCTGTTTGTGTCAGCCACTCCCTCCTGACCATTTCTTCCAACTGGAAAGTCCTGATATCCCATTCCCTGAGGCCTTAGCCTCAGCGTCCTTTAGGGCCAGCAGCCTGAAACCGAGTCGAGACCAGCCATCCTTAGGGTTGTTCTACTGTAGGAGGTCCCCAAGGATACTCCTGTCCGGGTAGTCGAGGCTCCCTCAGCCTGGAAACTCAGCAATCCCTTTGTCTCTGCCGAGGGAAACACTGAAGAGGGAAGAAGAGGGGATAAATGGTCATAAAAGGGTTGGGGGCATGGTAGAGGCATTAAGTGGGAGGAGGGTGGGCCAAGAGGCAGGAGCATTGTTTTACCCTACTGCAACTCACTCCTGTCCTCCTAGGCTGCTGGCCCAGCGGCAGCAACACTCCTTTGGTCTGCATGGGGTGGCGTGTGTGGGCACGGAAGCCCACCTCTCCCTCTGTTCCCTGGAGTTCTATCGTGCCAATGACACCACCAGGTGCCCTGGGGGGGCCCCTGCGGTGGTGAGCTGTGTGCCAGGCCCTCTCTACGCACCGTCCAGTGGCCAGAAGAAGCAACAACAGTCGAAGCCTCCGGGGGAGGTGTGTGAGACAGTGACTATGACCTTTCCCACCCCAGGTGGAGAACCCCTAGCCTGGCAACCCTTGACTTAGCACAGCCCTGACCTTTGAGGAGAGGAGCCTTCCAGGGGGTGGGCCACAGACCTGATACCACACACTCCCTCCCACCAAAGTCTCACTCATCTCCCAAGTCTGCTTAGCCTCTCCACACAGATGTTGCTGCTCACCTCTGTTGGGCACTTCTATCTTCCATAGGGCCGTGTCCGTCTAAAAGGCGGGGCCCACCCTGGAGAGGGCCGGGTGGAAGTCCTAAAGGCCAGCACATGGGGCACAGTCTGTGACCGCAAGTGGGACCTGCATGCAGCCAGCGTGGTGTGTCGGGAGCTGGGCTTCGGGAGTGCTCGAGAAGCTCTGAGCGGCGCTCGCATGGGGCAAGGTGAGGCAGCATGGAGGTGGGAGGGAGAAGGAAGGAGGTGCACGCTCCTGGGGGGCACATTCCTTGGGAAGGTTAGGTGTCCCCTGGGCAGACATATATGCTTAGTTACAACTTCCTGATCTTTGCCATCTGGCCCTAGGCATGGGTGCTATCCATCTGAGTGAAGTGCGCTGCTCTGGACAGGAGCTCTCCCTCTGGAAGTGTCCCCACAAGAACATCACAGCTGAGGATTGTTCACATAGCCAGGATGCCGGGGTCCGGTGCAACCTACCTTACACTGGGGTGGAGACCAGGGTCAGTCAAACTCTCCACCTTGGCTGAGGTGTCTCTTTAATCCTATCCAGTCCTGGCCTCCAATCTGCATTCTGATGGCCCCCATCCCATTGCCCCAGATCCCTGCCATCCTGCTGCTCCCACCTGACCCATCACTTGCTAGTCCATTGTGCACCTCTAAGTCATGCTTCAGCCACATCTATGCTACCGACTCCCACCACCTCACCCCAAAGCTTCCTCCAGCGCTTCCATTCTGTGTCACTACAGATCCGACTCAGTGGGGGCCGCAGCCAACATGAGGGGCGAGTCGAGGTGCAAATAGGGGGACCTGGGTCCCTCCGCTGGGGCCTCATCTGTGGGGATGACTGGGGGACCCTGGAGGCCATGGTGGCCTGTAGGCAACTGGGTCTGGGCTACGCCAACCATGGTCTGCAGGTGAGTGCGAAGGAGAGGGAGCCGAGGCTGTCGTCTCAAAGCCTGTGTTTTGGGCTGAGGGCTGAGGAAGGAGTCCCTTGGCCCAAGATGCTGGATCCTGGGCATTAAAGAAACATCTGCATATGTCCCCAGGAGACCTGGTACTGGGACTCTGGGAATATAACAGAAGTGGTGATGAGTGGAGTACGCTGCACAGGGACTGAGCTGTCCCTGGACCAGTGTGCCCATCATGGCACCCACCTCACCTGCAAGAGGACAGGGACCCGCTTCACTGCTGGAGTCATCTGTTCTGAGAGTGAGTGAAGGAGGGGACGATGCATGCCAGGGAAGGGAGGCTCTGGGCCACCCCTTTGCAAGGAAAGAGAGGGCTGTAATCTGGAGGGGCACTCCTTTCCCGTAGAAAACCAGTCTCACATGCTAGGGAGGAATGGAAGCACCCCACTCTGTGAAGTCAGAAGTGACTTCTAACACCCCCTTCCTTTCTTGGTGCAGCTGCATCAGATCTGCTGCTGCACTCAGCACTGGTGCAGGAGACCGCCTATATTGAAGACCGGCCCCTGCATATGTTGTACTGTGCTGCAGAAGAGAACTGCCTGGCCAGCTCAGCCCGCTCAGCCAACTGGCCCTATGGTCACCGGCGTCTACTCCGATTCTCCTCCCAGATCCACAACCTGGGACGAGCTGACTTTAGGCCCAAGGCTGGGCGCCACTCCTGGGTGTGGCACGAGTGCCATGGGTGAGAGGGTAGGGAGTCAAATAGAAGGGCAAGGCCATGGGGGATGGTACAAACCTTCTGGGGGCAGAGAAGGAAACACAAGTTCCCTTGTCCCCACAGGCATTACCACAGCATGGACATCTTCACTCACTACGACATCCTCACCCCAAATGGCACCAAGGTGGCTGAAGGCCACAAAGCTAGTTTCTGCCTGGAAGACACTGAGTGTCAGGAGGGTGAGTAGTGTCAGATAGACACTACATGGTGTCCATCGCATAGCCCTTCCTTAGACTGACACATGCTAATCCCTCCAGATGTTTCCAAGAGGTATGAGTGTGCCAACTTTGGAGAGCAAGGCATCACTGTGGGTTGCTGGGATCTTTACCGGCATGACATTGACTGTCAATGGATTGACATCACAGATGTAAAGCCAGGAAACTACATTCTCCAGGTACCTGGAGTCTGGGGCTTCCAGATGGATGAGTGGGAGAAGTGTTAAAGACACTTTTGGATTTGAGGATTGTCACTGGGTTAAGTGACCCTTCTCTTGCTCACAGGTAGTCATCAACCCAAATTTTGAAGTAGCAGAGAGTGACTTCACCAACAATGCAATGAAATGTAACTGCAAATATGATGGACATCGCATCTGGGTGCACAACTGCCACATCGGTATTTGATGGGAAGAGCAACCCAGGAAGATTAGGGAATGGGAGGGAAAAATGTTCATTCTCTTTTTCTGTAACTTGTTTCTGTATCTTTCCACCCTCCTCTGGAGCTCTCAGTCCCTCTACTTCTACCCACCCTTCCCACAGTGGGTCTCTCTGCCTCCCTCTGTGCAGGGCATCTCCCAAATTGCTTGTCCAATCTGCAGGTGATGCCTTCAGTGAAGAGGCCAACAGGAGGTTTGAGCGCTACCCTGGCCAGACCAGCAACCAGATTATCTAAGTGCTACCACCCTCTGCAAACCACCACTGGCCCTTAATGGCAGGGGTCTGAGGCTGCCATTACCTCAGGAGCTTACCAAGGAACCCATGTCAGCAACCACACTCATTAGACCATGCACTATGGATGTGGAACTGTCAAGCAGAAGTTATCACCCTCTTTCAGAGGCCAGCTGTCAGTATCGTGGCCAAGCATGGGGAATCTTTGCTCCCAGGCCCAGCACCGAGCAGAGCAGAGCACACCACACCAGAAAGAGCAGCACCTAACTGCCCACAACAAAAGATGGCAACAGCTCGCTGTCTTGAATAGGAAGGTCAGGATGGTCAGCTCCAGTATCTCCCCTAAGTTTAGGGGGATACAGCTTTACCTCTAGCCTTTTGGTGGGGGAAAGGATCCAGCCCTCCCACCTCATTTTTGACTATAATATGTTGCTAGGTATAATTTTATTTTATATAAAAAGTGTTTCTGTGATTCTTCAGAGCCCAGGAATCAGTGCTGGTGGTTAGAGGGACCTGCCCCCACTGGTTCATTTAACCCTCTGTCCCGGCGCCCTCAAGCCTCAGCCAGGAAGGCAGGAAGAAATCAGAGTAGGAGCCTCATACTCTTGCTGATCTGTTCATTCTGTGATCTCAGGGGTCACATATAAGGTCAGTGTTTCTCGTCCCCGCCGGATCCGCAATGCCATCTTGGGTTGGGTTCTAACAGCTTCATAAATATCTTCAGCACTACGTGCCACCTTGTCCCCAATGGCCAAAATCACATCACCAGGCCGCAGGCCAGCCCTACAGAGAAAAACAGACAGAGAGAAAGGAAGGAATAGAAAGCCCAGTTCAAGGACACATGCACACCTCGCCCATCCCCATCTCACACTGAAGCCTCTCCCTCACCGGTGTGCAGGGGAGCCCAGGATGACTTTATGGATGAGTACACCATACCGAACATCGGGAAACCTTGGATCTCGAAGCTGTAGTTCAGCAAGGATGCTGAAAGTACACAGATCACCCTATTAGCCAAACCTAGGCATTCTCCCCATCCCGACTTCACCTCAAGTCTCTCATCAACACATTGACAAATGTATGGACAGGACATGCACTAGGTACTACAAAATACAATGGCCACTCACTTTCTGTCTTCTAGCAGTTAAGAGCAACATGTACATAAAAGATGTACACCACATGAGGGCACCAAATGACAAACAATGTTAAATCAATAGCACTAACGTCACTCTAGAATGCTAAGAGAAGCTTTAAGGAGAAACTGAGCCTAAACGGATGGATGTGATATTAACCATATAAAACAAGAACAGCATAAATAAAACAATATGGGAGTAGGAAATCAAGTTGGCTGAGTATTCATATAAGAAGGTATAACAGCCAGGTCTAGAAAGTTGATTTATAGACAGATGGAAAATGGCCCTTAAATGCCAAGTTAATGGATTGAAGGCTTGAAATCAAAGCAGTAACAGGATGAAATCAATCTGGTGACAGGTGTGCAAAGTGGAGTGGGATAAGAAAGTCAAGATGATGAAGCGGGACAGCTCTTGTGATTGTTCCAAGTGTGATGCAGCTCATTTTAGATAACGACAGAAATGAGAACAAAGCTCAACAGAGGTGCCAGGGGCCCACCTCTGATTACACTGGTTACATTACATGTCACTATCCCTAAAGCTCATACCTGGGAGTCAGGGTCAGCATCATCACCCCAATGTAGCAGTGTCGGGCCCCATTGATTCCACATGAGGAATCTGTGACAGAGGAGCAAATGAGTCCCACCCAGCTACATCCTTCCTTCCCCTACCCTCCTCTCCCAATAGACCACCCTCCAGCAAGTCCCAGTGAATGCCCCTCGCCTATTTCCCACCCACCATTTTAAAGGAACCCGTTTCCCCATAAGCCAGGCTCACTTTCCTGTTCCCCACGACGCAGAAATTCTCGAAGGCGATCAGAAGGGATAGCAAAGGAGATTCCAGCTGTGACCTTCATGGTGTTCACTCCAATCACTTCTCCATCCTGCAGGGACAGAGCCCCCTGTTCCCTAGCCCAAACAGATAGTAGGGGATGGGGGCACCTGAACAAAAGTAGCATCAAGTGTTGGGGAAATCTGGTTGGATGTTGAGAGATAGCCAATAAAGAACTGCTCAGAAACTTGAGCAAACATCTTTGAATTAGGGAAAAACCACCCTTCCCACACTGACCTGGGGCAGGGGTTCTTGGAAGGAAGGATGTCCCACTCACCAGGTTAACCAGGGGACCTCCAGAGTTTCCAAACTGCAGAATAAGGACAAAACATGAAAGAAATCTGGGGATTCTAAGTCTGGGGGCATACCAGGATGTAGGTGCTTTCTCCAAATTATCTTCTCTCTCAGCCCATGAATGAGTGGCCACATTTTTTGCAGCCTAAGGTCTGTATATAGTGTCATCCAACATATATCACTTGGTACCTGTACCACAAAGCCTCTTCCCCCCCTCCCATCATCTGTCATTTCTTTCCTATCAGGACGCACATCAATAGCTGCATCAGTCTGAATGTATTCCACATTGGTTTGGGGGAGTCCCAGGTCTCTGGCTGGACGCTGAGCAGAGCTAACAATGCCGGATGTGATCGTGTTCTGCAGTGCAAAGGGACTTCCCATGGCAACAACAAACTCCCCCTGACGGACCTCAGATGAGCATCCAAGAGGCAACGTGGGGAGAGGATCCTAAGGGAGAATGGGCATAAGAGACCCGTCATTTGGAGATGCGAGCAAATAAGCGGCTCCAACCATAACTGGCCTACCCAAGCCCCTACCTTAGTCTGAATCCTCAGCGTTGCGATGTCTGCCACGGGATCCACAGCTGTGACGATGGCCTCATACGTGTCGCCGCTAAGCAGTCTCACACGGACTTTGCGCCGATCAGCCACCACATGGGCGTTGGTGACAATGAGCCCATCGGCAGCCACCACGAATCCTGAGCCGTTCGAGATAGGGATTTCGCGGCCCGAGAAAGGGTGCCTGGAATGGAGGGAAAGCATGGATAAGAGGAGGCTCTGACCCCTCCTACCCGCCCGCCCTCCGGCCCGTGGCTTCAGTGCCTCCTGGTCTACCCCTACCATTACCGGTCCAGGATCTCGATATAGACAACGGCAGGTGCTGTCTTCTCCACTACATCTGCGATGAAGTTGTACTGACTCCGGGGAGAGGTGGGAGGCGGGCCAGGGACTTCGGCGAGGACGGCCGGTGGACCCCGACCCCCGCCCCACAACAACAACAGCACTGCCCCCCCGGCGCCCAGCGCCACCGCCAGCCACGCGCGCGAACGGCTTCCAGAGTTCCCAGAGACCTCCTGGGTCCTGGTATCTGGGGTCCCCGCAGTCAGCTGTTCCCGGGGACACGGGGTCCCAGACGTCAGACGTACTCGGGGTTCAGGGACCCCAACAGACAACCGGGCCCGGAGACTGGGGGTCCCATAAGTCACTCGGGCCCGGGGGTCAGAAGTTCCTGACGTCAGCAGAGCCCGGAGGTCAGGGGTCAACAGGGGTCTCTTCCCCCAGCGAATACCCCCCAAAGCCCGCCATGCCCGGAGGATCCAGCCTGCACCCCGCCCCGCCCTCAGCGCAGCCATCAGCTCCGCCTCGGCTGCCTCCTCGCCCGCCCTACTCAGAGGCGGCACCCAGGACGCGAGCAAGCGGACAGTAGGACGCAGGGCACGCTGGTACTTGAAGTCCTCCAGAAGTGCACGCCGGAACCAGGATTCCGGGAGGCCGCCTCCTCCCCATCCCGCGAATGCCGGGAATTGTGGTCTCTGCGGGACCAGAGTTGTGAGACGGCCCAAGGGGCCGCGGGGCATGCTGGAACTGCTAGCCCTTCCGGGGCGCCTCAGGACTTCAGGTCCAGTCACCCCGGGCGGATGCCCGAAGACTCCGCCTTCCCAGGAGCCCTTGCGGCCGGGCGCGAAGATGGCGGCAGCGGCGGCCGGGCGCTCCTGAAGCTGCAGTTATGGAGCTTCCCTCAGCGCCGGGGCCGGAGAGGCTCTTTGACTCTCACCGGTAAGAGCCCCGGCGGGAAGAGGCCGATCCTCGCGTCCTCTTGGCCTTCGGTGCCCGATCACTTCGCCTCTCGCCCCCAGGCTCCCAGGTGACGGCTTTCTGCTGCTCGCGCTGCTGCTCTACGCGCCGGTCGGGTTCTGCCTCCTCGTCCTGCGCCTCTTTCTCGGGATCCACGTCTTCTTGGTCAGCTGCGCGCTGCCAGACAGCGTCCTTCGCAGGTTCAGACGCAGGCGTTTGGGTAGTGTCAGGGCTGGGCCTGGCCCGAAGACACACAATCACCACCTCCTGTGTCCCCAGGTTCGTGGTGCGGACCATGTGTACGCTGCTGGGGCTCGTGGCCCGGCAGGAGGACTCTGGACTCCGGGATCACAGCGTCAGGGTTCTCATTTCCAACCACGTGACACCCTTCGACCACAACATAGTCAATCTGCTTACCACCTGTAGCACCGTGAGTGAGAGCGAGGCCGAGAGCGCCACGGGGCGGTTCCCTAGGGCCCAGCTGAAGGCCCCCAGTCCCTATTCGCGTTCCCCATGGAGGATATTGACCCTTACCCCTAACCCTGATTCTCCACCCCACATGTCAGTTTTTCTCATTTTCCTCAATTTTTTTTCATCTTGCTTTCTCTTCTCCTGGTTCCCAGCCTCTACTCAATAGTCCCCCCAGCTTTGTGTGCTGGTCTCGGGGCTTCATGGAGATGGATGGGCGGGGGGAGTTGGTGGAGTCACTCAAGAGATTCTGTGCTTCCACGAGGCTTCCCCCCACCCCTCTGCTGCTATTCCCTGAGGAAGAGGCCACCAATGGCCGGGAGGGGCTCCTGCGTTTCAGGTGGGTTTAGCACAGGTATCGGGTGGTCAAGCTTGTGGGCCCTTGAGTTTTTACAACCTTCTTCAGCCCTTAGCCCCCAACATCTCTAGTTCATTTCCTTTCTGTCTACTTTTCTTTCTTCTGAATCCCTTCATTCTTCAATTATCTACTTGTAGAGTTTGACAGTTGCCTGTTTTAAGGCAGGTATGAGCCACTGACTAGGCTGGCTGGATTCCCATCCTACTTTCTCCTTCCTCTTCTAGTTCCTGGCCATTTTCTATCCAGGATGTGGTACAACCTCTTACCCTGCAAGTTCAGAGACCCCTGGTCTCTGTGGTGAGTGTGTGTTGAACAGGGAATCTCTGGGGCTTGGAGGGGAAGTTTCCCATTCCAGGCCCTGGCTTAGGCCTCACTTCATGCCCTCCCCTCAGACGGTGTCAGATGCCTCCTGGGTCTCAGAACTGCTGTGGTCACTTTTCGTCCCTTTCACGGTGTATCAAGTAAGGTATTAACTGCCCTCACATTTTGGTCACTGGGGAGAGGCTCATCTCAAGGTCAAGGAAGTAGTGGCCTCTGCCCTGTCCATTTGTAGAACTTTTAATATCAAGGTTCTACCACAAAGGCAACAAAAAGTATAAACTATTTTCCCACCCTCACCATGCAAAGAGGTACCAAAGTGGGGAGCAGTGACAGCCTTTACCCTGGGTGCCCGCAACATAGCCCTGAATTGTTTTTTGCAGGTGGCTTCGTCCTGTTCATCGCCAACCAGGGGAAGAGAATGAGGAATTTGCACTCCGTGTACAACAGGTGGTTGGATATACAGGCAGGGTGGAGGTGTGGTCCCTGCTTAGGAGAAGGGGGAGGAAAGCTTGAGATCTTGACACTTCCAATTTTCCAATTCTCCCTAGCTGGTGGCCAAGGAATTGGGCCAGACAGGGACACGGCTCACTCCAGCAGACAAAGCAGAGCACATGAAGCGACAAAGACACCCCAGATTGCGCCCCCAGTCAGGTATGTGGTCTCTATACATACACCTTTTGGTTTGTTTTTGGTTTTGTTTTCCCAGCCTGCTGTGATTCCTCCCCTATTCCTGTGCTAGCTAGCCTCTCCTTCTCCGAGTTCTCTACTTAACAAAATTTTTTTTCTTCTTTTTCTTTTTCCACAGCCCAGTCTTCTTTCCCTCCCTCCCCTGGTCCTTCTCCTGATATGCAGCTGGCAACTCTGGCTCAGAGAGTCAAAGAAGTTTTGCCCCATGTGCCATTGGGTGTCATCCAGAGAGACCTGGGTATGGGAAAGGGTGGCTCTACACAGGGAGATGGGCACAGGGAGGAAAAGTGGGTTGTGAAGGAAGAAAGTGAACAGGGAGTAGACTCCCTTCTCTTTTCTCCCCAGCCAAGACTGGCTGTGTAGACTTGACTATCACTAATCTGCTTGAGGGAGCTGTAGCTTTCATGCCTGAAGACATCACCCAGGGAACTCAGTCCCTACCCACAGCCTCTGCCTCCAAGGTGAGACCTAGAAAATGGTCAGGTCCAAGACTTGGGGTGAGTTGGGGGCAGGCTACCTACTTCCTTATCCCTGATTTTTAATTTTTGATCCTGAGACCCTAGCATAGTGCCTCTCTTGCAAAGTAGGCATTCGATGCATGTTTAATGATGATGACTCTGCAAACCCTCTGACACTGTGATCACCTCAGTTCCCCAGCTCTGGCCTGGTAACCCCTCAGCCAACAGTCCTAACATTTGCCAAGTCTTCCTGGGCCCGGCAGGAGAGCCTGCAGGAGCGCAAGCAAGCACTATATGAATATGCAAGAAGGTAGGAGGTTAGAGGACAATGAATAGCATGGGGAAAATTGGAGAATGGAGTTATGGAGCAACTGTGGCAACACCTGAATAATGTCTTTCCCTGTGCCCCACAGGAGATTCACAGAGAGACAAGCCCAGGAGGCTGACTGAACTCAAAGGAACAGGATGGCACCCAGAGCCGCAGGACGGAGACTGGGGGCAGCCCTCACCCAACTCACAACAGGCTGGATGAGTGGGTGGGTTGTAAAAAGGGAAGGATGAGGCTCCCCCAATATCATATTAAATTCATGGTTTTCATTCAAGGTGTCTGTTGTCTCTCTGGGTCTCAAAAGCCCTGTGAGTGGGTTCCTTATTCCTTGGCTGGGAAGGATTGGGGTGAGAGTCTCCTCGTATATTTGAGGGGGGTAGTCAGACTACAACTGTCTAAAATCACCTCCTCGTGTCAAGGGATGAGTGATAAATTAAGGAAGTGTAACTGAACTGAAGACCCAGCATGGGTGTTCAGCCCAGGTTTTGGAAGAAGCTGCTGCAAAACTACAAATCCCAGCATGCCTTTTACAAGCACAGTACACGTCATCTGTAGAGTTCACACATGCTCAGTATGGTGGCAGCCTGTTTTCCATAGGTTCCTGACTAGGTTAATTAGGGTGGAGCAAATAGCCCCACCCCAAAAGCAGGTTTCAGGATATGAAGTTTGAGCCAAGCCTTGGGGTAGAGCTGGAATTCACCTTTGTACTTAACACGGTCAGGGTTTGTAGTGACTAGCTACGTGGGTCTGGAGCTGGCTGCTGTCCTGACGCGTCCTAGAGCTGCAACCAGGTTTGAATCCAGGATCCCTGTGACTCTGCTGTTCCTTTCCCTGCCCCCTATAATCTTTATCCTTTTTCCTCCAGTACCTTCCCATAGGTTACTAGGTCTCACATAATTTCTACTGCCCCTGAGGACCCCTGCCTGAGTAACATATCTACCACCTGCCAACAGGGTAATAGCATCAGGTAGATTTCTACTACCTGACTACAGGGACTGTCGACTAACTCAATAGCTCTTATCAAAATGCCTAGCACTGTTTCCTGACAGGAAATGCTGAGAAGGCTGGGCCCCAGAGCATGATCACCTGAAGGTAGAAATTAAGGATCAGGGCTGAGGTGGGATATCAGTCACCAAATATGACCTTACTGGCTGCCCTGACTTCTGCAGGTCCTGCCAGAGAGCCACCATGGCCTCTCAGCTTCTCAGGCTGGCAGAAGAGTATGGCCCAAGTCCTAGGGAGTCTGAAGTGGCTGTGAACCCCTTTGATGGGCTTCCCTTCTCTTCCCGCTACTATGAGCTGCTGGAACAGCGCCAAGCCTTGCCCATCTGGGCTGCTCGCTTTACCTTCTTGGAGCAGTTGGAGAGTAACCCCACTGGAGTGGTGCTGGTATCTGGGGAGCCTGGTTCTGGCAAGAGCACCCAGGTGTGTCTCGGTTGTGGGGGCGGGCAGATTCTGGGAGTAGACAAAGGGAGGAGCTAGCTAGGGAATTGGCCTTTCCCTGGGCAAGGGAGGACTGGGCTGTGTGGGGTCATGGGGAAGGTGAGGAAAGAGATGGGATGGGTTAGGCTGGCTCAGGCGGCTGGTAGAAGACCAGGAGACTCCTCAAATAAGGAAAACTTAAAGTGGCCATAGTTCCCTGAGCACTTCTGACTGAAGTCCTACAACTTCCTCACTGGTTGTCCTCTACCTCTGTCCCAGATTCCTCAGTGGTGTGCAGAGTTTGCGCTGGCCAGAGGGTTCCAGAAAGGACAGGTTACTGTCACGCAGCCCTACCCTCTTGCAGCCCGGAGCCTGGCTCTGCGGGTTGCTGATGAGATGGATCTGACCTTGGGTCATGAGGTTGGATACAGCATCCCCCAGGAGGACTGCACGGGGCCCAACACTCTGCTCAGGTGGGGCCCTCTGCAGGCCTTACCCCAATCTAATTCCCTCACTTAGTAGAAACAAGCCCATTCCTCTGACATCTCACCATACCCTCCCTCAGCCCCACTCACTCTATTTATTTTATTTATTTATTTTGGAGACAGGGTGTCACTCTGTCACCCAGGCTGGAGTGCAATGATGCAGTCACAACTCACTGCAGCCTCAACCTCCTAGGGTCAAGTGATCCTCCCACCTCAGCCTCCCAAGTAACTGAGATTACAGGCATGCATCTCCATGGCTGGCTAATTTTTATATTTTTGCCATGTTGCCCAGGCTGGTCTCAAACTCCTGGGCTTAAGTGATCTGCCCACCTCAGTCTCCCAAAGTGCAAGGACTACAGGCATGAGCCACCACGCCTGGCCCCAACTCACACAACTGTATTTGGTGCAATGGCTAAATTAAGCCCTTGAATCCCAGCCAGGGACCTCAGACATTCAGCCACACCCTTATCAGAAAACTGTCACTTCCCAGCTGGAGTATATCTTGTGAACGAAGTGTTCTCAGTGGGGTTGTGAGGTCACAGATATAGGTCCACAGGCTCACGAAATCACAGTGTCTTTTTCTGACCTTCAGTATCAAAATCTACGTCCCTTGGGGAGAAGTTCCCCTGAGCTTGTGGAGCTGGTCAGTGTCCACACTGATTCCCCTGCTCACTACCAATGCCAACAGGTTCTGCTGGGACAGGCTACTTCTGCAGGAGGTGGCCTCGACCCGGGGCACTGGAGCCTGGGACGTACTAGTACTAGATGAGGCTCAGGAGCGGTCGGTGGCATCGGATTCACTCCAGGGGCTACTGCAAGATGCCAAGCTGGAAAACCTTCCGGGGGACCTCAGAGTGGTTGTGGTTACTGACCCAGCCTTTGAACCTAAGCTCCGAGACTTCTGGGGCAATCCTCCTGTTGTGCATATACCCAGAGAGCCTGGCGAGAGACCTTCGTCCATCTACCAGGACACCCTCCCCTCTGACCGGGTGGAAGCTGCCTGCCAAGCAGTGCTTGAATTGTGTCAGAAGGAGGCTCCAGGAGACGTGCTAGTGTACCTGCCCAGTGAGGAGGTAAAAAATTTTTAAAAGCCTTTAAAAGGAGGTACTCATCATCTTCCAGTCCTGGGGAATGGGAATAGGAGCAATGCCTGTGAGGACTAGTCGAGTTGCAGTATTTACCCTCTGCTGGGGTCCCAGGGAAAAACTTGAGGATTTCATGGTAAAGAGGTCTACCACTCACCTTTTTTATTCCCTTTAATGCAGAGATTTGTGATTCAGTGAGCCCCCGAAATTATAAAACCTTCAACTTTATCAGTATTTACATTTTCTCAGAGTGAAGGGCCATCACTTTCTGAAGTTTTTCAAAGGAATCTGTGACCCTAAAAAGGTGAGAACTGCCCTAATGCCCCACCCTTCTCCTTAGGAAATTTCCCTGTGCTGTGAATCCTTGTCCAGGAAGGTAGAGTCCCTGCCTCTCCAAGGGCTTCCACCACGAGTACTGCCCCTTCACCCAGACTGTGGACAAGCCGTTCAGGCTGTGTATGAGGACATGGATGCCCGAAAGGTCGTGGTCACTCACTGGCTGGCTGACTTCTCTTTCTCCCTCCCTTCCATCCGACATGTCATCGACTCAGGACTGGAGCTCCGAAGTGTGAGTGGGAGAGAGATGGCGGTGGGGTAGTAAAAACAGAAATGGCCCACTCTGATCTGTCTTGGCCTTGGTTGGGGGATGGGCAACAGGTTTACAACCCTAGGATCCGAGCAGAATTCCAAGTGTTGAGGCCAATCAGCAAGTGTCAGGCAGAGGCAAGACAACTGCGGGCAAGAGGGTTCCCACCAGGTAAGAGCCTTTGCCCTCAATGAAATAAAAAGCCAAGAGTCACCAACATGCAAGCCCTGAGAAATCTACAGTGGTCTTCTTTCCCAGGTCTTTTTCCCCTCAGGATCCTGCCTCTGCCTGTATCCTAAGTCCTTCTTAGAACTAGAAGCTCCTCCATTGCCCCAACCCAGGGTGTGTGAGGAGAATCTGAGCTCCCTGTTGTTACTACTAAAAAGGAGACAGATTGCAGAGCCAGGGGAGTGTCACTTCCTAGACCAGCCTGGTGAGTACCTCTCCTGCCCAAGCACTGCCATCTGACTACCCAGTTCTGAAACTTCACATCCTGTAAGCCCCTTTTCCTCACCAGCTCCAGAGGCATTGATGCAGGCCCTGGAAGATTTAGACTATCTGGCAGCCCTGGATGATGATGGAGACCTGTCAGATCTAGGTGTCATCCTATCAGAGTTCCCTCTGGCTCCTGAGCTGGCCAAAGCCCTGCTGGCCTCATGCGAGTTTGACTGTGTGGACGAGATGCTCACCCTGGCTGCCATGCTCACAGGTATAAATCGCTGCTCTAAATCCATAGCTCTTGCAGCCACTTCAGCCCTTCCTCTTGGGTTTTGGTGCTCCTGAGGCTAACCCTTTTTTCTCCGCTCCAGTTGCCACCACTCACAATGCCTAAAGAACCAGGCTTAGTCACCTATCTCCCTCTTGTCTCTTTAGCCTTTTTTCTCTACTGGTTCTTGCCCCTGGTATGCTTAAATCTCTCCTAATCTGTTATTGCTAAAACTCACACACCCCTCTTCCTCAATGCTATCCTCCCCTTCAGCTATATAGCACGATTTCTATCCTGTTCTAACTGGTGTATTGCTCACGCACTGCATTCCAGCCATGCCAGTGAAACAGCTTTCAACTCACTGTGACCTCCCAGATGCCTAATCCAGTGGACACTTTTGAGCCCTTATCCATGACCTTCTTTTGACACTTGAGATTGCTGATCACTCCACCTTGAAATGGCCTCCTCCCTAGGCCTCTATAAGGCTGCTCCTCATGGTTTTCATCCTACCTCTCTGGCCATCCCTAGTCTTTTCCTTGGGTTCTTTGTTCTCTGCTTATCCACTATAAATTGGTCCTTAGAGTTCTATTCTTGCCTCTTTTGTCTTCTATTTCCCGAACTCTTTGAGCAAGTTTATCCACACCCATGGTTTGAAGTGCTACCTTTAGCCTTAAAATTTCCTAACCTTGTGCCTTGTATCTCTCACCCAATTATGATTCTTCTGGATCTGAGAGAGAGAGAGAGAGAAAGAGAGAGGAGGGGAGAGAGGAGGGGAGAGAGGGAGTGGGGAAGAGGGGGAGAGAAAGAGAACACACTTCAGCTCCTTCCTGATGGATGTTTCTTTTGTTTTCCTTTTTCTTCTTCTCTCTTTTTTTTTTTTTTTAAGAGATGGGGTTTCACCATGTTGACCAGGCTGGTCTCAAACTCCTGATCTCAGGCTGTCCTCCTGCCTCAGCCTCCCAAAGTGCTGGAATTACAGGCGTGAGCCACTGTGCCCAGCCTTTTTTTTTTTTTTTTTTTTTTTGAGACAAACTCACTTTGTCGCCCAGGCTAGAGCACAGTGGCGCAATCTCAGCTCACTGCAACCTCTATCTGCCGGGTTCAATCAATTCTCGTGCCTCAGCCTCCCTAGTAGCTGGGACTACAGGCATACACCACCAAGCCCAGCTGATTTTTGTATTTTTAATATAGATGGGGGTTTCATCATGTTGGCCATGCTGAAACCCCATGGCCCAAACCCGTGACGTCAAGTGATCCACCCACCTCAGCCTCCCAAAGTGCTGGGATTACAGGCCTGAGCCTCCGTGCTCGGCCCCTAAGGGACATCTCTACCAGAATAAAACAGTACCTCAGCTCAGAACTGAACTCAAAAGCTCTATTAAACCACTCCCTCACTACCATCACCACAAAATTTTTTCCTCTCTCTAGATTCTGAGTTTCAGATAATACTGTCATGTCTGCTGCTCTACTACCATCATTCTAGACCAGTCTTTCTCCAGGTTCTTTCATTTTTATCTCCTAAATGTGTGTGTGTGTGTGTGTGTGTGTGTGTGTGTGTGTGTATATATATATATGTGTGTGTGTATACACACACACACACACATACACACCCACATATATATCTTTAAATTCATCTGCCGTTCTCCATATTCACTTCCAGTGAATATGGTAGATAGGATCTGCCGATGGTAGTTCCTCCTCATTGCTCAGCTGGATTTCCTCAGTAGCCTCCTAACTAGTAATGTGAACTTTTTCAGACACATGGACTCTCTTACTTAAAAACTCTTCTTCGGCCAGGCATGATGGCTTGTGTCTGTAATCTCAGCACTTTGGGAGGCTGAGATGGGAGGATCACTTGAGCTCAAGAGTTTGAGACCAGCCTGAGCAACATAGTAAAACCCTGTCTCTACAAAAACAAAAAATTAGCCAGATGTGGTGGCATGTGCCTGTAGTCCCAATTACTGAAGAGGCTGAGGTAGGAGGATCATTTAAGTCCGGGAGGTTGAGGCTGCAATGAGCCATGATCACGCCGCTTCACTCCAGCCTGGGCAAGAGAATGAGACTTTGTCTCAAAAAACAAACCAAACAAAAACCAACTCTTCAACAGTTACTCTTTACCTTTACCTTAAAGACAGTTCCTTTCCTCAGTACTCCAGCCTCTCATGATCTTACCTGTACCTACCTCTCCAGCTTTATCTCCCACCATTCTGCCATGTGTCATTTCATTCCCTCCACCCATATCAGATGGCTTGTAGTTCCCCAAATATCCTAGGTTACTAACTTACGTGCCATGTCATTGCCACAGTCTAAAACATACTCCCTGCCCCTTCTCCGTTCAGCTAATTCCTACTCAAATCTCAAATTCTAGCCCAAGGGTTCTCATCTTTTTCTCTTACATCACTCACATTCTCACCACCTAAAGCCTGGATTAGATACCCTATTCTTTGTTTCCACAGTACCATATACAAACACGTATGCTCATCAAGTCTGCTTACCTGTTGGTCTCTCCCACCAGACTTGAAGCTCCTTGATGGCAGAGACTGTCTTTCATTTATTTGTCCTCAATGTTTAATAAAGTGCACAGCACCTAAAAGTTATCTATGTCTATTGAATAAAGTTCCCAAAGGGACTCTTCTGCCTTGTCAGCATTCCACGTGTACTACTATCCCTTCCCATTTCCCAAATGGCAGATTCTACCTTCCGCTCTTCTGCCTCCAGCTGCCCCTGGGTTTACCCGTCCTCCACTCTGTGCAGAAGAAGCTGCCCTGCGTCGGGCCCTGGAACACACAGATGGTGACCACAGCTCTCTGATCCAGGTGTATGAAGCCTTTATACAAAGTGAGCTCTGCATCCTCTTATAGAATCCCAGATTTTCCAAAGAGAGGAAATGTTATGCCACTAGCTGACAGATCTCTATGCTCAGGAAGAGGAGGCCCTTTGGCTAAGGCTTGGGTTCCTTCAGGGGTCTCAAGGACTTTAGTTTAGCTGGTCCCTTTCCTCTCCTAGGTGGAGCAGATGAGGCTTGGTGCCAGGCTCGAGGTCTGAATTGGGCGTCATTGTGCCAAGCCCATAAACTTCGGGGAGAGCTCCTAGAACTCATGCAACAAATTGAACTTCCCTTGTCCCAACCAGCCTTTGGCTCTGAACAGAATCGCAGAGACCTTCAGAAAGCACTGGTGTCAGGATACTTTCTCAAGGTTAGAGGAAAAGGTGGGGGTGAGGGTGACTGAAGGAGCAAAAGGCAGAGAGTACAAATATTGGTATGCTACTTTGAAATCAGTGTCCATGTGGCCATTCAAAAGATTCTTTAGAACCAGAAAGGACTTTTCCCTTGAGGATTTAGGGTATAACGGGCTATGGAAAATGTGATGAGGTATAGTAGAGACCATATAACACCCAGAGGTGTTATACTTTACTTTTAGAGGTGTTATGCTTTTTAAAATACTCTTACCATCCTTACTAATTTTTTCTCAACCCCCTTTTCTTTTTTTCTACTGCCTGCCTCTTCCCTTTTATTTATTCCATCAATATTTTTGCCTTTCAATAAGGTGGCCAGAGACACAGATGGGACTGGAAATTACCTACTCCTAACCCATAAGCATGTGGCCCAGCTCTCCTCATACTGCTGCTACCGAAGCCGAAGCCGCAGGGCTCCTGCCAGACCCCCACCATGGGTGCTCTACCACAATTTCACCATATCCAAAGACAACTGCCTTTCCATTGTTTCTGAGATCCAACCACAGATGTGAGTTCCCTGACACGCCTCCTACACTGCCTATTCCTCTCCCTGGGGCCAAAATTTTGGCTGGGGAGTTAGAGAGACAGAGAAAGGGATCTTAGTAGTTTGTAAAAACATGACTTGAGGAGACAGGACTTGTGGAAGGGCTGGTTAAGTTTAAGAGTCTGCATTGTAAGAGAGGATGCACTTTTGGAGACCTAGGTGGGAGGAGTGCTTGAGGCCAGGAGTTTGAGACCAGCCTGGGTAACATACTGAGACCCTGTCTCTACAAAATTATTTTTAAAAGATTATCTGGGTGTGGTGATGTGCACCTGTAGTCCCAGCTACTTGAGAGATTGAGGGGGAAGGATTACTTGAGCTCAGGAGTCTAAGGCTACAGTGAGCTATGATCATGCCACCGACTCCAGCCCAGGCAACAAATCGAGACTCTCTCTCTCTCTAAAGAGAGCGATAGAGAGAAGATGCAGATCATCTAATTATGAATCTCTCTATTAGGCTGGTGGAATTGGCCCCTCCATACTTCCTGAGTAACTTGCCTCCCAGTGAGAGCAAAGACCTCCTGAACCAGCTAAAGGAAGGAATGACAGATTCTTCAGCAGGGAGCGAATCATCCTCAGCCCAGGAGTTCAGAGATCCCTGTGTCCTGCAGTGACCTGCCTGCCTATGGAATGAAGCTGGGTTCATCTCATCACATTACATTCTCCCTCAGGATGGCACCAAAGCAGCCAGACAGATTTAGAAGCCCAAAGTTTAGGGTCAGATGTAAACCCTGGAACTTGAGTCTCTAGAAATGGTGGGCTGAGAATGGAGAGAATGGGGTAAACCACAGTCTACATAGGGTAGGATTCTTTCCTTAGCCTTCTCTTATTTATTGGAGAGGGACTGACATGCTCCCCATTCTCCCAACTTTGCCAAACCCATTCTTGTACTCACTTACGGTCTATTAAAGATTTTTCTATGATGCCAATTTTGAGTTTGGTCCTGCAGTGCCATATCCATAAATCAGCGATGATACTATAGTAAAGAACCAGGGCCAGCTCCTCCAACTATAGTCTCTAGCCTCTTCCCATCTCCAATCAGGCCTTCAAGCTATGACCCACATAGTTGTCACTAACACAGACATGAGTTGTCTGCCTACATTTGATCTCTAGCCCAGCCTCTCTTCCTTCTGTCACAGTGCACCAGCCAGGAGAGGAAGGATGGGGGTGCTAGAGGAATCAGACAAAATCTTCCCTCATACAACTTAAATCTGATTTCTTTTTAAAGCTGAAGGCTAATAGGACCATCCCCTAACTAGCTAGACTTTCTATTAACAAGCTTCCCAGCAGCCCTGACACACCCACAAGCTGAAATCTTTCTAACAACTTCAGAGACATCATGCTTTCCTTTCTTTCTGCCCGAGTTCTTCTTCCCTCCCCATTTTCTGCCCTTGGAGTTTTTTTCGTTAGTTTGTTTTTGTTTTTGTTTGTTTGTTTGTTTGTTTGTTTTTTGAAGATGGAGTCTGCTCTGTTGCCAAGGCTGGAGTGCAGTAGCGTGATCTTGGCTCATTGCAACCTCCATATCCTGGGTTCAAGCAATTCTCCTGCCTCAGCCTCCAGAGTAGCTGAGACTATAGGCATGTGCCACCACACCTGGCTCATTTTTTGTAGAGACAGGGTTTCACTGTGTTAGCCAGGATGGTCTCAATCTTCTGACCTTGTGATCCTCCCTCCTCAGCTTCCTAAAGTGCTGGGATTACAGGCATGAGCCACTCGGCCCCACCTGCCCTCAGACTTAGGTATTCTCCATCATCTTGCACATTGCAAACGTGGTTGTCAAATTTGGTGGAAAGGTTTATTCCTTAGAACTCTGCTTTTCTCCTCAGAGTTTCCTCCCTCAGAGATTCTATCTGTTCTCATTCATTCTATCTAGGTCCACCTGATCTCCCTCAAAGGCACTTCTCCAGGATTTATTATCTGTAGGCATAACATTTAGTTTTGCCTATACAGTAAATCTTGCTCCAATCTTCCCAATTTCCCTTGCAGCATCCACAGCACCATTGATTTCCTGAGGCTGCACATTTCCAGTCTTGTAATTACCTTTGATTCTTCTTAAGCTTGTCACTTCCTAAGTATTTTCCAAATTCTGTTCACCCTAACTCCACTGGGCCCATTAACTTTGTCCATTGTTTCCTCCTCTCCCTTCTCTGTCCCAATGTGACACCAGAACCAGATTTTCTTTCTAGATTTTCTCTTTCGTTGGGTGTATAAGTATCCAACTTGCCTCCTGCCCAGGCGCGTTGCCAGAGGATGTGGCCAGCAGGCTGAACACATATGACAATGCAAGGCTCAAAGTCAGGAAGAAATAAATCCTTAGCGATTATTTTACAGTTGAGGGATGAGACGCCCCGGGTGCACAACCCTCTGGTTCCAGTCACAATCAACCAGCCTCTCGCTCTCCAGCACCCCCTCCAGTGCTCCGCCGTCATTGGCGTCTTCCGCCCTTCACACCTTTGGTACAGACCCCACCGGCACTAGCGGCCCTAGCGCCCCCGCAGAGCCCCAGCTCCCGACCACCCACCGGAGAATTCCGAGTCCGTCATTAAAGCAGCTCCCATTGGCCAGCCCGGCCCCCTCCCTGCACCTCACTGGCTACTGTCCTACAGGTCCCGCCCTCTCGGCGCCTCTGGTTCCAGCCGCGGCATAACGGCCTTGAAGTGAAAAATGGCGGGAAAGCCACCTCTGAGCTGGCAGTGCATCCGCGCAACACTGGCCTGGGAGCCGGCCGGTGGCGGAGGAGCCCTCGACGACAGCCTCAAGGGCTGCCGCTCCTCACGCACCTGGCTGCCACCAGACCACGGGCACAGGCAGCTGCGCGCTCCACCGTTCAGGGCCCTGCGCTCCCCGCCGATCGGACGGGCGTCGCTCACACCACCGAGGCGAGCCCAGACACGGAAGCCACTTTGTTGTCCTCGGCCCAGGGCTGTAGGTTCTGCAGCGCGAAGAGCGACGAGTTGTGCAGGCAGAGGGGGTCCGGGGGCAGCGGCGGCCGCAGCGGCCGTGGCAGCGCGTCCTGCTGCAGGTGCAGGAGCAGCCGGCCGGCGCGGTGCCGCTCAGCCTCGCGCTCTTCCGCCGTCTGGCGCCTGGGGGAGGGAGACGCGGGGTCAGCAGGGCCGCCCCCACCGCCTCGTTTCTCACTGGGCCAGGCCCGGGGACACCCGTCCGCCCTCGCTCACGCCGCTCCTCACCGCCACTTGGTGCGTCGGTTCTGGAACCACGTTTTGACCTGCGCGTCGGTCATGCGCAAGGCCTTGGCCAGCGCCGCCCTCTCCGCCGAGGCCAGGTACTTCTGGCGCAGGAAGCGCCGCTCCAGCTCCAGCACCTGCGAGCGGGAGAAGGACGTGCGCGGCTTCTTCCGCTTCGGAGGGGTCCTGTTTTGGTAGGGATGGCCTATGCGGCGCGTCCCCGAGAAGGGCGAGAGCGCGGCTACCGGGAGGAAGAAAGAGCAGGGCAAGGTTTGCAGGGTGGCCCGAGGTGCCACTGAGAAGACCACGCGGCTGTCCATGCCGCAGAGCTCCCGCGCCCGGTCCTTAGCTCTGGCCCTAAGCGTCAGCCGAGGCCTATAGCCAAGAAAGGCCCTTCCCCTGGGATGCACGGGAGACGTCCCCCGTAACTTCACCCTACCCTCCCCGCTCCTGGACAGTGGGACTGCAGAAGAGGGCGCGGGCACCGACGGCAGCTCCCTCCCCATTGCCTCTCGGCGGCAGGACCCAGAGATTCGAGTTGGAGGAGGATCCCCTGGGAAGATCTGGGAGGAGGTGTGAAAGGGGTCCTTGAGTTGGAGCAGAAAGCTAAGAGGTGAGGAGACGGGATCAGAGTCGGGCGTGAAGCTGGAGGGGTCAGACAACCTCACCCGTGAGCCGGTCCTTGGCAAAGCGGCGGCCGCTGTCCATCCAGGGAAAGGTGAGTCCCGCTAGGCCTCCGGCGCTGCCCAAACCCGAGGGCCCAGGCACCGCAGGTGCCCCCCCCGCGGGCGGTGGCACAGGCAGCGGGCGGTGCGCGGGGACACGGATCACGCCACCCGGGCCCACTCCGGAGCTGCCGGGCAGCGGGGCCAGTGAGCCCGCGGCACCGTAGCCCGAAGCTCCGTGGTATCCACCCGAGAACGCCCCACTCTCCCCATGACTCTGGCCTGCACGACCCTGGCCTAGGCCGCCCCCCGGGGTTTCGGGGCCGCTCAGGATCTGATCGATGCCGAAGCTGATTGGCTCGTGGTGTGGAAGGTTGTGTGGACCCAGCATCCCCGGCTCCATCCGTCCGGGCGGAGGAGAACCACCGGAGGTTCGGTGGTTGGGGAGGATGCCTCGGGCAGCTCCAGAAACCCGGCAGCGTCGCGCTCCAGACAGTGGCCTCAGGGGCCGGCGGGGCTGGCCAAGGCGGGGCGCCGGGGTCCCCGGAACAGCAGCATCCCTGTGCACCCGGAGCAGCCGCGCCCGTGCCAACCGCTGCCGGGCGTCCGCGCAGGGACTTGCATCCCGGGGGAGCACGACCGGCTGGGGCCCCTCGAGCTTCCTTGCTGGCTCTCAAGAGCAAATAGACGCTGGGCTGCCGGGACCGCTGCCCAAGTCCGGGGTAGAGAGGGTTGGCTAGCTCCGGCTGGGGCAGGGACTGACAGATCGGCCCGGGTGGGTAGTGGGGGCTGGGGGTAGGGCAGGGGCGGGGCCCCGCAGTTAAAGGGGAAGGGACTTCTGTTTGCGCCAAGCGTCGGGAGAAGGCTGGCTGGCGGAGATGTGCGGGGCGGAGGGACAGGGGGCTAGGGTATTAGAAACCAGGCTCAGCGCGGGAGGGGCCCTAGCAAGGGCCGCTGAGTCAGCGGAGATGCTCACCGCGCCTCCATCCTTGCTGGCTTCTGCCTTTGGGCTGCCTCCGCCTCACCGGCTTCCTCCTCTGGTGCCTCCTCCCCCAGCCCCCACTCTTCGCCTCTCGATGGATCCTGCTGGCCAACTCCCGGATTCGTTGTGGTCCCCGCCTAAGTGCCCTCGAAGACCAAATCTCGTTGTGGTTTCCCCGCTGCGTAAGAACGGGCTGGGGAACGGCGCCCGATGAGCTGCAGGCCCAGGAAAAGAACAGGTGTGAGAAGCAGACGGCAGGGGCTAGGGCGGGGAACGACCGCTATGGGGTGGCGATTCTGGTGCGCCTTCCTCTCCTGTAGATCACCCTGGCCCGTTTATGCGCACCGGTAATTGGTGTCCTGTTTCTTAGAATTTCGATTTTCCGAAATCCGTATAAAGCGGACCCTTGGATCAACCCGGGCCAAATCAGGCCGGCGGGTTCTTGGGGCTGGCGCTCTACCCCGGACCGCAAGGGCAGGGAATCCCCAATGCAGGACTCTGCCCCTCAATTCTGTGCCTAGGAAGTCTGTTTTCACACTCTTCCTCCTCAATGTTGGGAGGGCTAAATCTCACCACAGGGGACCCGTGGGACCTCACTGAGGCCTTGGTTGAATCCTGGCTGCCTTGTTTCCCATAAACATTTTACCCCACTCAAACTCAGAAAATGGCCTGGAGCTGTCAGAGAAGGGAGGTGGGGAAAGACCCAAGCCACTTGGTGACCTTGTGACCTCTGGCCGTAGATCCAGGAGCCGAGAGTGTGTGAACTCTGCGTCCTTCCAAGGGATGGGACCCCAGCCGGGCGGGCCCCTGAGCCTTAGACCCGCCCCCGTCGCCGCCCTGCCCGGTGCAGGCCGCAGTAATCGGGTTAGCTGGGCCGGAATTACATTACCTTCCCCGGCCCGCCCCGGCCCCTGGGGGGGGCCTGGCGCCTCTGAGCCGGTGAGACTGGGCTCGGAGAGGGGGGCGCTGCTACCATCCTGCGGTGGCGGGTGGGCACCAACGAGCAGCTAGCCTACCTCCGACACGTGGTGGCCAAAGGTACCCAGCTGTGGGAGCTCTCTACCCTAGTCCCCAGCCCACCCCATGTTCAGCTCCATCCTGCTGGTTTCCCGTGTGAACCGAAATGCCTTGTAAGTCTAGTAGTTGGAACTCCCTGAAAGCACTGATCTTCAAACTGATTCTCCAGGATCCCATGGGAAAGACTCTGCCCCCTCCTTTCTTCCCAGCAGATGGGCAGGCAGCCTGGTGCCTGGGGCAGGGTGAGGGGGTCTTTTATCCCCTGGGAACCAGGAATATTTGGGCATCTGGGCAGGAAGAGAAAGAAGAGTGAGCTCTCTCCACCAGCATGCCAGTGTTGTTAGAAGCCTTATGTCTAGAGGACATGAACCATAAATGGGACAGGAGGCAGTGAGGGGAACAGTGGGCATTAATTTGTGTCAACCTCCCCCACCTTGACCACCTCTACTATCCAATTTGTCCAATTCCTCCTCAGCCCTACTCACAGCCCATTCTGAAAGACTTTGGGGGCTCCTACCAATTTAGCATCAATTGATGTTGATGGAGAAGACACACATTATCACCTCCCCATCCCTTTACAGAAACCCATGCACTTTTCTCAGCAGTAGAGAGGGCTGCAAGGAAGCAGAAACCTGTTTAGTCAAACTCTTCAGGCCAGGCACGGTGGCTCACGCCTAAAATCCCAACACTTTGGAAGGCCAAGTGGGGGCAGATCACCTGAGTAGTTCAAGACCAGCCTGGCCAATATGGTGAAACCCCATCTCTATTAAAAATACAAAGAAATTAGCCGGGCATGGTGGCAGGCACCTAACCAGCTACTGGGGAGGCTGAGGCAGAAGAATCACTTGAACCTGGGGGTCGGTTTCAGTGAGCCGAGATCACCACTGCACTCTAGCCTGAGAGACAGAGCAAGACTCCATTGCAAACAAAAACAAACAAATGAAAAAGATCTTCCTTGATAGCAAGAGCTGATTCCCCTAGATGGGAACAGGGAACCTAGGGAGACAGCAAAGAAATATAGTCTCTGAAGGGGGCTGGTGTACAGGTTAGAAGTTTGTTACTCCTTCTCTCCTCTGAAGGGTGAGTCTAGGCGGGGCGTCGGGGGCGGCGGCAGGATAACCAGTGTGTCTCCAGCCAACCTAAATAAATCCTCCTTGAATAATCAATGAATGAATCAATAAATGAAAAAAAAGGCAACGTCATGCAGACCCGTGCACTCCCACCTTTTGAGGTCAGCACAGATGGTACTGTCAGCCAGAGACTGTCCAACTAATCATTTAAGGAGAATGGTCACAAACTCAGTAGTTCATACAAGTGTTCTGGAGAGGTTTAAAAATATTTTAGTGCCCCACTTCAAGAACAGATAATATCTGTTATATCAGCCAGACCACAGTCTTAGGACTTTCTCCTTTTTTAAGAGACAGAGTCTCACTATATTGCCCAGGCTGGCTGGCCTCAAACTCCTGGGCTCAAACAATCCTCCCACCTTGACCTCCTCAGTATCTGGAGTTACAGGTGTGCACCACCACCCCAATCTGGCTTGAAATGTTCTTTCTTGCCTGCATGTCTCTGATTTACAGGGAAATGATAATTTCTGCTGGTTTATGTTGAAGATAGAGGTGCTGTGATGAGTACCCCCTCGTGCATACTGCTTTGGATCTGTCTCACCATGTCCTGTGTGTCCATGGCTCTCATCAACTTAGTCTTTCCTACCTCAGCTGTCTCAGATCTTTATCATCTGGACAAATCTTTGCCTGACTCTTCAAGAGAGATCATGCTTTTTGTTTCCTTGTTACTGCTCATGCCTACTGCCTCCATTTCCTCATCATTTAGTCTTTTTTTTAACCCAGTGCAAGCTGCCTTCACTCTAGTAACCCTTTCTCAGAGAGCTCCAGTGTTCAGTATCCCTCCTCTAGGACTTCCCTGACATGTTTTACTTTGTTGATTATCAACAATTTCTTAAAGTGTCCCTTCTTTTGGCTTTTGTAATATTATCTTATTCCACATCTTAGTCACACGTATGTCTTTCCTCCACTGATTTTGCTTCTTCTACTGAAGACTGAGGATTCTTCAGAGCTCAGACTTAAGCTTCCTTTCTTCTTTCTTTTTTTTTTTTTTTTAAAGAACAGGATCTTTTATGCAAAAACACCTCAAAAAGAAAAAGAAGAAGAAAAAGTAAAAAAAAAAGAGAGAGAGACATGATCTCACTCTGTCACTCAGGCATGCAGTAGCACAATCACAGTTCACTGCTGCCTCAACCTCCCACAGTTCACTGCTGCCTCAAGTGATCCTCCCACCTCAGCCTCCCAAGTAGCTGGGACTACAGGTACATACCACCACACTAGGCTAATTTTTGTACTTTTTGTAGAGATGGAGTCCCACCATGTTGCCCAGGCTGGTCTCCAACTCCTGGACTCCAGTATCCACCCACCTCAGCCTCCCAAAGTGCTGGAATTACAGGCATGAACCACCAAATCAGGCCTTAAACTTTCTTTATCTCTACATCTGCTCAAGTTTCACACATTCCAAAAGTCCCAGCTCTCATACCCAGCCAAATAACTCTGAGACCTCTATCCCTGGTTCTGACACTTCAGCTCCACCACTCACTCTCCTAGCCTTCTGATCAGCTCCCCCTACTTCCCTGCAGCCACCTTAAGTCCTGCAAGCTGGAGGACAAGCTTCCCTCCAAAACTCTTCATTCACTCTCTTGCCCAGGCCTAGCATGCCAGGTTCCTGGCTACTTCCTCCTATTATACTTTCCTTTGAAATGTTTCAGATACAGCCCTTCCTTTCTATTGACATTGCTAAAACCCTAATTGAGGCTGTCAGCACTACCACTTGGATTCATTCATGTGTTCATCTAGAAAATTTTAATTGAACACCTACTATGCACCTGGCACTGGAGCTATATCTGTGAACACAACAGAGAAAAACAATCCCTGCCACTGAGAGGCTTTTATTCTAGTGGAAAAGGCAGATTAAAAAACAAGGAACTGCCGGGCGCGGTGGCTCAAGCCTGTAATCCCAGCACTTTGGGAGGCCGAGGCAGGTGGATCACGAGGTCAAGAGATCAAGAACATCCTGGTCAACATGATGAAACCCCGTCTCTACTAAAAATACAAAAAATTAGCTGGGCATGGTGGCGCGTGCCTGTAATCCCAGCTACTCAGGAGCCTGAGGCAGGAGAATTGCCTGAAGCCAGGAGGGCGGAGGTTGCAGTGAGCCGAGATCATGCCATTGCACTCCAGCCAGGGTAACAAGAGCGAAACTCTGTCTCAAAAAATAAAAATAAAATAAAAAATAAAAACAAGGAACTATAAGCTGAGTGCAGTGGCTCACGCCTGTGATCCCAGCACTTTGGGAGACCTAGGTGGGCAGATCACAAGGTCAGGAGTTCAAGACCAGCCTGGCCAGTATGCTGAAACCCCGTCTCTACTAAAAATACAAAAATTAGCCAGGTGTGGTGGTATGTGCCTGTAATCCCAGCTACTCAGGAGATCGAGGCAGGAGGATCGCTTGAACCCGGGAGGCAGAGGTTGCAGGGAGCCTAGATCACACCACTGCCCACTGCACTCCAGCCAGGGAGACAGAACGACACTCCATCTCAAAAAAAAAAAAAAAAAAAAGGAAATATGTTTTCTAGAAAATATTTTCAGAAAAATAACTAGAAAATATTTCTAATATATTAGAAATGTATATTGGCCAGGCGCGGTGGCTCACGCCTGTAATCCCAGCACTTTAGGAGGCCAAGGCGGGCAGAT